GTACTATTGGAAGCAGTGATTTTATTTTATTTATTTAACATCTTTATTGGAGTATAATTGCTTTACAATGTTGTGTTAGTTTCTGCTGTATAACAAAGTGAATCAGCTGTATGTACACATATATCCCCATATCCCCTCTCTCTTGCGTCTCCCTCCCACCCTCCCTATCCCACCCCTCTAGGTGGTCACGAAGCACTGAGCTGATCTCCCTGTGCTATGCGGCTGCTTCCCACTAGCTATCTATTTTACACTTGGTAGTGTATATATGTCCATGCCACTCTCTCACTTCATCCTAGCTTACCTTTCCCCCACCCCGTGTCCTCAAGTCCATTCTCTACATCTGCATCTTTATTCCTGTCCTGCCCCTGGGTTCTTCAGAACCATTTTTTTTTTTTTAGATTCCATATATATGTGTTAGCATACGGTATTTGATTTACTCTTTGTGACTTACTTCACTCTGTATGACAGTTTCTAGGTCCATCCACCTCGCTACAAATAACTCAATTTCATTTCTTTTTATGGCTGAGTAATATTCCACTGTATACATGTGCCACATCTTCTTTATCCATTCATCTGTCAGTGGACACTTAGGTTGCTCCCATGTCTTGGCTATTGTAAATGGAGCTGCAATGAACATTGTGGTACATGTCTCTTTTGAATTATGGTTTTCTCAGGGTATATGCCCAGTAGTGGGATTGCTGGGTCATATGGTGGTTCTATTTTTAGTTTTTTAAGGAACCTCCATACTGTTTTCCATAGTGATTGTATCAATTTACATTCCCACCAGCAGTGCAGGAGGGTTCCCTTTTCTCCACACCCTCTCCAGCATTTACTGTTTGTAGATTTTTTTTGATGATGGCCATTGTGACCCGTGTGAGGTGATACCTCATTGTAGTTTTGATTTTCATTCTGTAATGATTGGTGATGTTGAGCATCCTTTAATGTGTTTGTTGGCAATCTGTATATCTTCTTTGGAGAAATGTCTATTTAGGTCTTCTGCCCATTTTTGGATTGGGTTGTTTGTTTTTTTGATATTGAGCTGCATGAGCTGCTTGTATATTTTGGAGATTAGTCCTTTTTCAGTTGGAAAGCAGTAATTTTAAAGCAATTGTGTCATGCTGATTATTTTTTTTAATTTTTATTTTGTGTATTTATTTATTTTTATATTTTGGCTGCACCAAAGGCTTGTGGGATCTTAGTTCCCTGACCAGGGATTGAATCCGCACCCTTGGCAGTGAAAGCACAGAGTCCTAACCACTGGACTTCCAGGGAATTCCCTGATTCTAATGTTTGATTTATTGGGTAGTGTCTTTCAAGCACTTTGAATATAATTCTTATTAATTTAGTGATATCTAGCTAGTTATTCTATTTAATGTCTCTAGTATACTATACAAATTAATATTTATTGAATAATGTTTTGAAAATAGCTAAGTTAATAAGTCAACCAGTTTGTTTTTATAAACCTCTCAGTCATTTAATAATGTAACACTGGGCTTTGGGCCTTTAGGCCTGGGCTTAATTTACTGAATCTTTTTTTTCTCCTATAGTTTTATTGAGATATAATTGACATACAGCACTGTATAAACATAATGATTTGACTTGCATACATCATGAAATGATTATCACAAAAGTTTAATGAACACCTCGTATAGATGCAAAATTAAAGAAATAGAAAAACATTTTTTTCCTTGTGATGAGAACTCTTTTAAGATTTTACTTTCTTAACAATTTTCATATGTAACATATAGCAGTGTTAATTATATTTATCATGTTGTATATTATATCCTTAGTACTTATTTATCTTACAGCTGGAAGTTTGTACATTTTGACTGCCTTCATTCAGTTCCCTCTCCCCCACCTCTCACCTCTGGTAACCACAAGTCTGATCTTCTTCTCTATGAGTTTGTTTGTTTTTGAGGTATAATTGAGCTACAATACTATGTTAGTTCCTGTTACACAACATAGTGACTTGCTATTTCTGTAGATTTCAAAATGATCACCACCGTAAGTCAGATTGTCATCTGTCACTATGATTATTGACTATATTCCTCACACTGTACATTTCATACCTGTGATTCATTTATTTTGCAACTGGAAGTTTGTACCTCTTAATCTCCCTCACCTATTTCTCTCCTCCCCCCACCTCTCTGCTCTTTGGCAACCACCTGTTTGTTCTCTGTATCTATGACACTGTTTCTGTTTTGTTATGTTTGTTCATTTGTTTTGTTTTTTAGATTCCACATATAAGTGAAATCATATAGTATTTGTTATTATTATACTGAATTATAGTAAATAGCTATAACAGGACTAAACCATCCTGTGTGTTCAAAATTCAAATGTGTTTTATGTTTTCATCAAAAAGTATTTACATAGGGGCTTCCCTGGGGGCGCAGTGGTTAAGAATCCGCCCGCCAATGCAGGGGACACGGGTTCAAGTCCTGGTCTGGGAAGATCCCACATGCTGCGGAGCAACTAAGCCTGTGCGCCACAACTACTGACCCTGCGCTCTAGAGCCCGTGTGCCACAACTACTGAAGCCCACACGCCTAGAGCCCATGCTCCACAACAAGAGAAGCCACCGCAGTGAGAAGCCTGCACACCGCAACAAAGAGTAGCCCCTGCTCGCCGCAATTAGAGAAAGCCTGCGTGCTGCAACGAAGACCCAACACAACCAAAAAATAAATAAATAATTAAAAAAAATTATTTACGTATATATAATGTGAATACTTTGTATATGATATTGTATATGATGTTTTAAATACATAATCATGAAAAGTCATTGAATTGTACAATTTAAAGAGCTGTATGTAATTTATAGTATGTAAATTATTCCTCGATAAAAACATTTCTTGATAAGGAAAAAAATAACAATAGTAATTCTGAATGAACCTGTTTTTTTTTTCTCTAGATATTCGGTAGTATGTTCCTTTTATTCCTTTTTTAAATTAATAGACTTTAATTTTAAATTTATAGAAGAATTGAGCAGACAGTATAGTACAGAGTTCCCATTTTACATGCCCCCCCCACAGAATTTTCCCTATTATTGACATTTTATATTAGTATGGTACATTTGTTACAATTAATGAACTAATATTGATACATTATTTTTAACTAAAGTCCATACTTTATTCATATTTCCTTAGTGTTTATCTAATGTCCTTTTCTGTTCCAGGATCACATCCAGGATACCACATTACATACAGTTATCATGTCTCCTTAGACTTCTGTTGGCTGTGACAGTTTCTCAGACTTTCCTTGTTTTTGATGACCTTGACGGTTTTGAGGAGTACTGGTCAGATATATTGTAGGATGCCCCTCCCTTGGAATTTGTCTGCTGTTTTTCTAATGATTAGACTGGGATTATGGGTTTTGGGGAGGAAGACCACAGTTAGAATGCCATTTTTGTCACATCATATCAAGGATACATACAACCTTTGATTACTTTTTTCTTTTTAATAGAAGTCCATAAATATAAATATCATCCACAACTGATTACTTTTAATATGGTTTTTCAGATATATTATTTCAGCGCTTTGCAAAGATATTCATTGGCTGTCTTGCAGCAGTTACTAGTGGTATGATGTATGCTCTCTATTTATCAGCGTACCATGAACGGAAATTCTGGTTTTCCAACAGGCAGGTAAGAAGAAAGAATTTTGAGCATATGAACGTTTGTTTTAATATTTAATGTTAATTTAAATAATGTGTTTTCCAGGGAGCCAAAACATGCATGATAAGTATGACACGTGCTTTTTTTTTTTTTTTTTGGTTGGTACCCAGGCCTCTCACATTTTGGAGCACAGGCTCCGGACGCGCAGGCTCAGCAGCCATGGTTCACGGGCCCAGCCGCTGCGCGGCATGTGGGATCCTTCCGGACCGGGGCATGAACCCGTGTCCCCTGCATCGGCAGGCGGTGTCTCAACCACTGTGCCACCAGGGAAGCCCGAGAAGTGCTTAATGTTATGCTGTAAGGCAGTAGGAACAAAATGGTATAGAAGCTGTCTTGAGTCACAGTATCAACCTTGAAAAATTTAATGGCATGTATTTCAAGGTGGTAGAACAGAAATTATGCGGGGGCTTTCCTTCATGCAATTGATTTATCGGGACTTTTGATGACAGTGAAATGTTATGAAGTTTAGTCAGCTTTTTCGTAGTTTTGGTAGTTTACATTTAAGAAACAGTCTGTGGCAGTTTCAGCATCAAAATATTTTAATTTTTAGATTAGAATGTTTTGAAGTGCTGAAAATGATTAGCAGACATAACAGTATTTATTAAAATGTTGCCTTATATTAGCATGTTTAATGTTTGGTTTTAAATCGTGTTAATCACAGACTCTACTCACTATAGTTATATTCATAATTCGTTTGGCCTTTGAATAAGTTTGTTTTCAGACTTACCTTCGCGATCAGGTATACCTGTAATATACATTGGCAAAGTTCGTGGTGTTACCACTTGACTCTAAAGTTTTTTTATTTTTGTTTTAGCCCAAACTCTTTTTTGTTGTTGTTCTTATTTTTGAGCGAGTAGTCAAGCTGACTAAATGTTTTTAAGCCATTGATTTATCTAACACCACCAAAACATTTAACTGAATAATTACTCACCTGTATTGATTTGACCAAGGATTTTGTATAGCCTATTTCCTTGAAAATGTTATGAAGATTAAGTATTAGTTGTTCTCAACACTGGATGTACAATAGAAAAATCTGGGATGATTTAAAAAATAACTTCCCTCACAGATTCTTAGGTGGGGTGGGGCGAGTGTCTGGGGTCAATATTGCACAAAATCTTTCCATGTGATTCTGTTATGTAGGCAGAATTGAGAACAATAAGGTTTAAAAATCTAGAAGACATTCACGAAGAGCATTGTGATGAGCCAGGAGCATTGGCATCATCTGGGAGCTTGTTCAGAATTGCAGCTTCTCAGGCCACACTTTAGAATCAGAACCTATGTTTGAATAAGATCTCTAGAAGTTTTATATGAACATTAACTTTGAGAAGCACTGAATAAGAGTTCACATCTTTGAAATTTTAGAAAGAAAAATCAGTACCCATTCATAAAAAATAATTTTGAAGAAATTTATTTAGACTAATAAGGTCTAGATGAGAAGAAAAAAAGGGTTCACTGGTCAAATAAATCTAGGAAAGACTTTATAGAGATTCTCAGTGCATAATGAATAGTGAAACTGAAAAGTTGCAATGAAAAAACTCATTTAATTTTCTCGAATCCAGCCTTTACATAGCTTATTTAACTCTTTTTAGGTAACACCCATTAATACCTTAGGAAGTTCTGTTGATCAAACTTTGGGGAAACTGCTCTGATATCTTTTGTATTAATTGATAAAATTATGCATGAAAATAAACATGTTTCATTTTAAAAGATTTATGAAAGTTTGATTCAGCATGAAAAACACAGGTTTCAGTGTTTTTGACTACCTATATTCTTGGTTCTGTACAGCCTAATTTTAGGAATTTTAAGATTTACTTACATTTCTGGGAGTTCATTTGAAAAGAACTGGTTAGTTATCTGCTGCTCTTGGAAAGCCCTAATTAAGGGCTTGCTGTTCTGGATACCTAGGGAAGTGGAATAGCAATAGAAAAATAATACTTTCTTTTTAAATTTACATTTTTATTATGGACTTCTGACACCTCAACCATCATTTTTTACTTCCTGCTATACTGTTCTTGTTCTCCTTATGGTACTACTTTGGGTTTTCCTCCCAGATTTTTCTTATATGTAATAGGCAAATAACTTACGAGTTACCATCTAGTTTAAACCTTAAGTATTTCATTAAAGTGATTGTCAGATTATTGAAAAGTTTAATCTTATTAATGTGGCCACTAGTGGTTAAAGGAAAATTCAAACATGTCTTTGAATAAAAGGATAAATAAATAGCATTAATTTGGAATATGAGGAGAGAAAAAGATTGCAGTTGAAATTTAAGACACTGGTATTTAAATAATCATTTCATTTTCTTTTAGGAGCTTGAACGGGAAATTACATTTCAGGGTGATAGTGCCATTTATTATTCTTATTATAAGGATATGTTAAAGGCACCTTCATTTGAAAGAGGTATGATAACTACATTTGTATATTTAGTAACAATATTTTCCTAAAATAAAACATTGTCCTTATATGTGGGAGCCCTTGAATGTGGAAATTTGTCTCAGAATATAGGTATTGGTCTTTCTTGTAGTTAATTTAAAAATTGGAAAAATGAGGCACAGAGTATTATATTTTGAGATCCTTCTTGATAATAAAGTATTTAATGACCTCTGAATAACATGTTCAATTCTTGTAAAAGCAGAATAAATAATCTGGAGAAAAATTTTTCTGGCTTTAGGTGTATACGAACTGACACACAATAACAAAACTGTATCTCTGAAGACTATAAATGCAGTGCAGCAAATGTCTCTATATCCAGAACTTATTGCCAGCGTTTTATATCAAGCAACTGGTAGCAATGTATGTGTTTCTTTTGACTTTAATATTTATTTTCTCACATATTTATGAATCCTCAAAATTATATATTGTCATCCTATTATCTCCTTCTCTCTTTTTTTTCCCAATTAGGAGATTATTGAGCCAGTATATTTCTATATTGGCATTGTTTTTGGATTGCAAGGAATATATGTCACTGCTTTATTTGTTACAAGTTGGCTTATGAGTGGAACTTGGCTAGCAGGAATGCTAACTGTGGCATGGTTCATTATTAACAGGTAAGAAAGGTGTTTTTAATTAAGTTTTACAATTTTTTGTGACTGTGGTAGAGTTCTAAAAATGGCTCCCCCCTCCAAACCTTCCATGCCCTGATTCCTGCCTGTGAATATGATGAGATTTCATCCCTGTGATTATGTTGTGTTGTACGGCAGCAGTCCCCAACCTTTTTGACACCAGGGACAGGTTTCCTTGAAGACAGTTTTTCCACGGAAGTGGGGTGGATGGGTCAGGCAGTAATGCGAGGGGCAGATGAAGCATCGCTCGCTCGCCCGCCGCTCAACTCTTGCTGTGCAGCCCAGTTCCTAACAGGCCGTGGACCAGTACTGGTCCGTGGCCCGGGGGTCGGGGACCCCGGTTATACGGCATAGTTGACCTTAAGGTAGGAAGGTTAGCTGGTGGGCCTGATCTAATCGCATGAGCCCCTAAAAGTGAGCAGCTTTCTGCAGCTGGTACAGAAGGGAAGTCAGAGATATTTGAAGCATGAGAAGGCTTTGGTGCCTTGTTGCTGGATTGAAGTTAGGAGGAAATGAATTCTGCCAACAACCAGTGAGCTTGTAAAAACTCTACAAGCCCTGTATAAGAACTACAGCCCCAGTTGATGCTTTGATTTTAGCTTAAGGAGACCCTGAACAGAGAATCCAGCCATACTGTGCTGGGTTTGTGAGCCAATGAATCTGTGTTATTTTAAGCCACTACATTTGTGGTCATTTGTCATGCAACAGTTGAAAAATGATACACCCACCTCTATCTCTCTATTTTCAACCATAGCAACATTGGCATATATGTCTTTCCTCATTTATTTAAAATTGATGACATAGCTTCATGAAAAGAAGGAAGAGGCATCAGATATATCAGTTTTAAGTTAACCACTATATTAATCTATGACAGTGTGCTTTGAATAATAAATCCATTCCTTTTGGTGATTAAAGGAGCCTCAGTTCTTTAATAGTGAGTACAAAAAGAGTAGGGGATGGGACTTCTTTGAAATGGAGAGCTAAAATTTTCTTGGCATTGGTCAGTGTCAAAAATTTATTTTTTGAATGATCCTTTTTTGGCTTTTGAAAGTGCTTCCTCTCCATAGCACTTTCCCCTCATAACACTTAACGTGATTAAATTTTAGAAAATGAGACCTTTCTTCTGTTATACATTTTCTTTTGCAACTGCCAAATGAAAAATATGGTACTTCAAAGACACTGTGTTTCAGATTTAGGGCTATATCTCTTACTGGGCTTTGTTTAGGGTCACATGCTGGCACCAGTTTGAAGTAAACGATTTTAAAAATCTTCCTTAGAAGTTTTAAAGTATGGCTGTCCAGCTTTATGAGTTATCAGTATATTTCTTCTTAACTCATAAAGGGAGTACAGGGATGAACCAAACTTTATTATTATAAAAGCAACATATGTACATCATAAAAAACTTGAAACCAGCAAAAATAAAATAATAAGTTCACATTCCCACCACCTGGAAATCACTCAGCATTGTTTATATCTTGGTGCATATTCTTTTGGACCTTTTTCTGTTGTGAATATGTGTGTGTATACATGTATGTATTTGTGGTATATGTATGTATATATATGTATATATTTTTTAAACAAGATGAGATATATTGCACATACTGTTTTATATGCTGCTTTCCTTATTTAGAAGCCTCTGCCTTTCTATTTCAGTAACTTTTTTATCTTTTCTAATACCCAGCCCATATTAGAATTTCCTGTGTTGACCCCAAAATACCCTCTATAACTGGTTTATCCAAACCAGTATTTAATCCAGGACTACATATTGCATCTGGTTGTTACATTCCTTAACTCTCTTTAAATCTAACATAGTCCCTTTTTTTTTTTTTTTTTTTTTGCGGTAAGTGGTCCTCTCACTGTTGTGGCCTCTCCCATTGCGGAGCACAGGCTCCGGACGCGCAGGCTCAGCGGCCATGGCTCACGTGCCTAGCTACTCCGTGGCATGTGGGATCTTCCCGGACCGGGGCACGAACCCATGTCCCCTGCATCGGCAGGCGGACTCTCAACCACTGCGCCACCAGGGAAGCCCAGTCCCTTTTTTTTAATGACAGTTGGCTTGTTGAAGGGACCAAGTCAGTCGTCCTACAGAATGTCCCAACGTCTGGATTTCTCCTGTTGCTTCCCTGTGGTGTTATTTAACTTTTCTCTCTGTCTTCTGTGTTTATGTAATCTGGAAGATACCTCTAAAGGCTTGATGGATTCAAGATAAACAATTTTGGTTAGAATATATTGTTGATGATGTAGTTTTCATGTTCTGTGACTTTACAAGTTACAGGGTATTTAGTTGGCCTAACCCTAGTGAAGCTGAAATTGCTGGTTTGAAGGATGACAGTCTGATCTCTCCATTGAATAATTATGTTTTCCTCTTATGACTATAAAACAATCTGTGTGGTGTTCTGGGGCATCAAATGAACGTCCTTTTCACCATTAACAATATACCCAAGGGTTATAACTCTAGTTGACAGCCTTTGCCTAATTTAGGGTTTATAAAATTAGGGTTTTCTATTTTCATTAGCTTCATTCTTCAAAAGTAAAATCTTTCTTTATTAACCAGGTTCTTTGGTTACCTTTAAATTGAGTTACTATTAGAAAGTTAGGACAAATGCTTAATTTCACTTTAATTACCAATTTCTTTTAAGAGATTGTTTTAATAGCTGTCTCACACAGTGATAAAAAGCATTTTCTGGTGTTCTCCTTTTTAAGCATCTTTCTGTACTTAGAGATTTTCATTGATTCAATAGGGCTAAAATACATTACCATCATTATTCTTTTTCTTGCTTAAATTTTTACAGCATTGGTCGATAGGAGTGCTTTCAGACTGGCTCCCGAGTTCTTTTGACACATCTTCATTAATCTTTGAAAGTGTTTTGTTTTCTGGCTCAACAGGAAGAGCAGGCTCACCTTGTATATTCCAATGAAAGATTTGCAATTAGCCTTTTCTCTCTGGAGCTTTGATTCCCTTTAGTATAAAATAGTATTAGAGAATCTGGTGTGGATGCCAGGGGTATAGATGACTTCTTGTTAAGTCAGGAAGTGCCCGTTAGAGAATATTTTAAGTTGCCATGTACTCTTCTAAAATTTCATTAGGATTCATTGTTAGAAATTTAATAGCACACTCACAGAATTTATTTCAGTGCTAATAGACTAGTTCTAGAAATTTCTTGCTTTTTAGAGTGAAAGTGTGTTTCGTATACAGCATTATTTAAAATAGAGACCTTCTAAAAGGATTGCTTTCTTGACTATGTGATGCATTAGTCATTGCTGTATAACAGATCAACCCAAAACTTAATAGCTTAAAACAACAAACATTATCTCTCACAATTTCTGAGGGTCAGGAATCCAGAGTGGCTTATCTGTGTGCTTCTAGCTAAGGGTTTCTTGTGAGGTTGAGTCAGTAGTTGGTTGGGGCTACAGTCATCTGAAGGCTTGACTGGCCTGGATCATTTTTACTTAGTTCACTTCATGTGGCTTTTGCAAGAAGCCTCAGTTCCTTGCTGGCTGTTGGCCTAGAAGGCCTTAGTTTCTCATCACATGGACTTCTGCAGAGGGCTGCTCACAGCTTGGTTGCTGGCTTCCTTTAGAGTGAATGATCCAAGAGAGACTGGAGTGAATGTGTCATAGTGGAAGCCAGCTATCTTTAATAACCTAATATCTGAAATGATAGGACATCACTCTGCCATATTCTGTTGGTCATGCAGACTAATCGTGGCACAACATGGGAAGTGGCTACACAGGGTGTTAATACCAGGAGGCAGGGACCGTTATGAACCATCTTGGAGGCTGGCTGTCACCTACAATGAACTTTAATATTCATTTCATTTAATCCCTAGATCTTTCTCCATCAGAAGTTCAAAGAGAAAGACTAGGCAACTTTATCATGTAAAAATAACAGCAATTAAAGAATAATAAGACTCCCTGTCAAATAAATTATTTTAAAAATCTTAGTGAGAATTGTAAGGAAATTGCCTTATTTAATTATAATTCAGTTGCCTTATTAACTTGCCTTGTTTAATGCTACAATATATCCTGGGTAGCTGGAGCAGGAGTTAGGTAGAAATATTAATCTGATATATTCTGTTAAAGTGTATCTTTTAGCAATTGAAACATCTAAGCAAGTAGCTTTTTCTTTATGTGTTTGTTTTGCATTGTTTATTGGTATATATTTTCCTTTTTTTTTTTGGCCGTGTGTGTGTGTGTGCGGCATGTGGGATCTTAGTTGCCCACCAGGGATTGAACCCATGCCCCCTGCAGTGGAAGCACTGAGTCTTAACCACTGGACTTTAAGGAAGTCCCATATTGGTATATATTTTATACTGCAAAATATATTTGAATGCCATGAAAGAGTATGCTGTCTTTTTTATTTATCAGCTTTGGTTTATATATGATTGCCTAGAAAAGTGCAAAAAGATGATTAGTCATTCCATTATATTATGATTATTAGTTGTGTTCTTAATGATGTTTTGTGATACTCGTTCCTTAATATTAGAAGTAGAAAGCAGGATTATAAAATAGCTCCTGTTTGTTCAAACTAAAGGATGTAGGTATATTAGAAAATTCAAGAAAATTTCAGGAAATAGCACTGTGCATATAGTAGTGGGGGGAAATCAGAGGCAGATGACTCCCTTTGATCAGACTATCACCAAAATGGGCTAACCTGAGTCCAATCTTCATGTATAAACAATATAGAAATTGCTCTTGGTCCCCACTGATCTTCTTATCTACAAATATATCCCTGAGAATCACTTTCAGTGGACACATGTTTATATTTGAAGAGCAAAGAAAATATATCTGATTAAAAGTCTATACTAAGTTTAATCTTTGGCCTAAAAAGGGTAACTGTGCACATCGGTGATTCACAAAAGGGTAAGATGCAAGGAATGCACATGTCCCAGAGTTAACAAAAAATAATGGTAACACATGGTGCTGGGTCTGTAATAATGATATTGGTATACTCTGGATGCTTGTGGAAGTATAAAGTTTTTCAATTTTAGATGCCAGTTTTTCCCAGGAATTTCATTGTATTCCAAGGAAGTAATTCAAAAAAGAAGGAAAGAGTTCACTGCTTCAATTTATTTATTATAGTATTATTTGTAATAATATGAAAAATTAGAAAACAACCTAAATTTAAGGGAATGGTTAGGTAAATTGTAATATGTCAGTGCAAGGGAACATATAGCCATTAGAAGTTATACTGATATTGCATAGGTGTTTTTCAACTTTCACACATTATACATTGGATTGACATGCCAAGCTGTTTTTCACATCTAATCTAAATCAATGTTTCTCAAACTTCAGTTATATATATTTAAAACTTAATAATCATGGATTCCATGTGTTGATTTCAATAATCTGAATGATAATGCTATAAATATAAAGCATTAAACTATGTTTTTAAGCTCCTTATGTATTGAAACCAATTTACTAATGAAGTAACAAACCAGTAAAATATTAACTAAAAACTTTAATGTGAAAAATTATATTTTGCTAACACCAAATTTCTACTCTCTGTGTATGACAAACCTACACAGTTAGGTACCGTGAGATGACTCATTTCTCATCATGTTGCTCTGTTCAGTCCATTATGAAATCTCTTTTTTTTTTCTTTTAGCACAGTGATCAGTACATCATTCTGTTTTTACTTAGCAATACATCATTTAGTATTTTTTTTCTGATTTTTTTCTGGGGAGACCACAACAGTGAGAGGCCCGCGTACAGCAAAAAAAAAAAAAAAAAAAAAAAATGAAAACACAAAAACTCAGAGTTAGCTGATCTCTGGGAATGCATCCATAGATGAAATTGGTAAAAGTAGTTGTTATTTGAATTGCTGGTTTGTGCTGCTGTCTGCTAGACTCTGCTGCTGGGGAGGAAAAAGTGAGTCTCATTGGATTTTGTCACATCCCACTAGTAGCCTCTGGTTCTCACTACCACCAGGCATGGATGGTGTGGGGAAGAGCAAGAGTAGCACAAGTGTTCAGGACTGTGGCCGTGAGGATGCTTGTTCACGTGTAGAGAATAACTGGCAGAGACCCTACTCAGCTGCAATGACTAGAGGTTTCCTTCATCCCTTCTCCAGACAGTGCTTCTGGTGCAGAGTTTTATAGGTTTCACTGCACTAAGCTGTGTGTTGGGTAGGGGTAGTGAGTGAGTCTTTGGAATGAGGATTGCCAGGTTCACCTTCCCAATTCTAGGCTGATAGAGTGGTTGGCAGAGTCCTGACTTGAGAATAGACATCTTCTCCTTCGTACTTCCTGACTTATGACATGTGAATATCTTGTTTTGTCTTTTAGAAAGCTAACTTTCACAACAATTTTTCATAAATAATATTGCATGAAAGTAGGTGGCCTTTAGAATACATGATGTTCACTAAATGGTATTGCAGCAATCAAATCTGGAAAAGAAATACTTATTGCACACATAGTAAAATAAATTCCAATTGGATTAAAGAATTAAAAGTTAACAGTGAAACCAATGATCACTATACAAAAGCATTGGTTCCTGTTTTGTTGTTGTTGTTGTTGTTGTTGTTTTTGCGGTACCCGGGCCTCTCACTGTTGTGGCCTCTCCCGTTGCGGAGCACAGGCTCCAGACGCGCAGGCTCAGCGGCCACGGCTCACGGGCCTAGCCCCTCTGCGGCATGTGGGATCTTCCCGGACCGGGGCACAAACCCGTGTCCCCTGCATCGGCAGGCGGACTCTCAACCACTGTGCCACCAGGGAAGCCCTGGTTCCTGTTTTTAAAAAACGTTTTTAATAGATAAAGCCAGAAACAATGTAAGTGTATAACAATAGGAACTGGTTAGATTATGATAAACCTGTACAGTTATGTGCCATGACCATTCAATATTCTTGAAGTATATTGACATATATACTATGGAAAGATGCTCATAATATATTGTTAAGTAAAACTAGTTCATTACAGAGTTGTAAAAGAGATAAGATCTAATACTGTTTACTAGGTTCTGGACACTGTACTAAGTTTTTTCCAGCTTTTATTTCATTTTATCTTCATGTTTTTAATTTATGTATATATATTCAATTACATATACATTCATAGAACACAGGTTATTTTCTAATACGTTTTAGAAGTTTTATTGAGATGTAATTGGCATAGAATAAACTTGTACATATTTAAAATGTAGAAGTTGATAATTTTAGACACTTAGACACACTTGTGAAACCATCAACAAAATCAGTATAATACACATTATCATACCCAAAAGTTTCGTTGTGCTCCTTGGTAACCTCTCCCTTTTTCCTCTTCTTACCCCACCTCTACTGCTGTAGAAAATCAGGAAAGATCAGGAAACCAGTGATCTGCTTTCTGTCACTATAAATTAGTTTTCATTTTCTAGAATTTTATATAAATGGAGTCATATAGCATATACTTTTTTGGTTCTTTTTTTCCTCCACTCAGCATAATTATTTTGAGATTCATATATGTTGGGTGTATCAATAGTTCATTTCTTTTTATTGCTGAGTAGTATCCTATTGTATGGCTATACCACATTTAAAAAAATTTTTTTTAATTTATTTAATTAATTTTTTTGGCCATGCCGCGTGGCTTGTGGGATTCTAGTTCCCCAGCCAGGGATTGAACCCGCACCCTCGGCAATGAAAGCATGGAGTCCCAAACCACGGGACCACCAGGGAATTCCCTGTACCACAATTTGACTGAACTAAATTACACGCAAGAATTTTGTCTCCATTAGGAGAATTATGCAGCAATTTTCATGAAGTTTTTTAAGCAATAGCACCTTTGTTTTTTGTGTGGGAAATAGCCATTGGGTTTATGAGATCCAGATTTAATTATTGTTGGGAAGGGAGTCCATTGTGGTGTGAGGATATGCATGGGAGACAACAGGCTCTCAATGAAAACTGATAGAGGAGAAACTTAGGAGGAGCCTGCAAAGACATTGTGTTTGATTCTGGAGATTTTCAAAGCTCTCTGGATCTGTCACATAAAGGACTACTGTAATGTTAATTCTGGGTAACCTGCTGATTGAAAAAAGTATTAAACTAGATATCAGAAGATATGCATTGTAATCCTAGTTGTGTCACCTACTAGCTATATGACTTCATTAAGTCATCACCTCTCTGAACTTCATATTCCTTTTATATAAGGATTAGTATAAGAACTGTGGATCTGCCAGGCCTGCTAGTTATGTAGTGCACATTGTGCTCTAGAGAGGCATAGCCATCTTGTTAAGGGAAGGGAGGGTGGGGGCTGAACTCCAGTGTACTCTGCAGCAAGCTGTGAGTTGTAGCATGAGGCTGTATCTGCCCAGAGCAGGGATGCCTTTTTCAGCTTCTCACAGAGGCCCATCTATTCATCAAGCAGACACAGCAGCACTAAGTCTTCCTGGGTGGGAGGTAAGGTAAGGGTGAAACACTATTAATTTGTTCAAAGATGCTGTATAGGTAATGGTGGCTTTGTCCATGCCTACCTCACAGGATATGGAGAACAACAGTGTGTGGAAGTGCCTTGAAAAGTATAGTGTTAACACAAATATAATATCTTGCTATTTTGCTGTTCATCTGTGGTTTATTTTAGGGTAGATACGACAAGAATTGAATACTCCATTCCTTTAAGAGAAAACTGGGCACTACCATATTTTGCATGCCAAGTCGCTGCACTTACAGGCTATTTAAAAAGCAACTTAAATTCTTATGGAGAGGTAAGATACAAATTTATTTGTCACAATTCTGATGTATTGCAAATGTGGTACATTATTTTAAAGCTATTCATATTAAGAGTTAAATTATACTCAGTGAAACCTGAACTACACCGTAAAGGATATAGTTAGGTAGTCTTGTTATAACTGTTATTCTGTAATCTGATTGACAGTAAATTATATTTATGAGAAAGGAGATGTTATATTGTTTTAGTGCAGTTACTTGACAAATATATGAAGAATATCTTATTTTGAAAATTAATCTGTCTCGTTATTTTACCATTTCTCTCACTTCTGGAACATTGATGGCCTTTAATCATCACAAGTTGAAGAATATTAATGAAGATATAAAGAGTGACTACAAGGGACAACAATGTAGCACTGCATATTTTGTTTGCCCGTATGTTTTCTGTGACTGAGGTGTAGGTAAGCTAGTGAGCTTCAGGAGACTATCCTGGATAGTTTAGATTCTTAGTGTTGTGCTCTTGTTGTTGTTGCCATAAGCCCTTTCAGCAGTCAAGTGAAGCTTAGAGACTCTATCAGAATAATGATTTTAAATGCATAAAATAAAATAAATGTGATTATAAAAGGCAACCAATTACACTGAAATTGACTTAAATGTAGCAATCCTTTGACAGTCTGTCTGCCTGTCTTAGGTTAAGAATTCCTGGCTAGAAAAAGGGACTGTAGGGACCTGGTTGGCCAGGAAATTGTATTTACTTATGGTTCCTTTTTGAAATCTCTGAAAAATGTTCTTTCCTCCTTTCAGTGATGTCAGATGTCCTGAGCATAGCAAACTTTATTTCATTTTTTATAACACTAGTATTTCCTTTCTTATCTAAAATAATAACACATTTCAGATTTGTAATTTTCCTTTTGTTGGTTTTGTATAAACAGCTTTCTGAGAAAGAATATTTTCTATAATAGGGAGTATTTGAGTGTTTTCCTGTTAGATTGTGTAGCTGTCTCTTAGGAAAGAATAGTTCTTCAAGTTTTTTGTTTTGTTTTGTTTTGTTTTTTTGTGGTTCGCAGACCTCTCACTGTTGTGGCCTCTCCCGTAGCAGCCTCTCCCGTTGCGGAGCACAGGCTCTTTTATTTTATTTTACTTTTGGCCATACCGCCCAGCACGTGGGATCTCAGTTCCCCGACCAGGGATCGAGCCCGTGCCCCCTGCAGTGGAAGCATGGAGTTCTAACCACTGGACCGCCAGGGAATTCCCTTTCAAATATCTTTTTTTTCTTTTTTTTAAATATCTTTTTAATAAAACTATTATTCTTATTTATTTTAAAAGAAGGAGTTTGGAAAAGGTAGAATGAAATGTAAACTTATTTTTTCCCTTCTATACTATATTTTATATTTTTCTGAATAACTTATTTTTATTGCCATGTTATGTATTCTTTCTAGAATTTTTTTAAATTCTAACTTTTTTAAATTAAAAAAGTAATACAGGGGATTCCCTGGTGGTGCAGTGGTTAAGAATCCGCCTGCCAATGCAGGAGACACGGGTTTGATCCCTGGTCTGGGAAGATCCCACATGCCGTGGAGCAACTAAGCCCATGCACCACAACTACTGAGCCCACACACCGCAACTACTGGAGCCTGCACACCTAGAGCCCGTGCTCCGCAACAAGAGAAGCATCCACAATGAGAAGCCTGTGCAACACAACAAAGAGTAGCCCCCACTCGCTGCAACTAGAGAAAAAGCCTGTGTGCAACAACGAAGACCCAATGTAGCCGAAAAATATATATATAAATAAATAAATTTTTTTTAAAGTAATACATCTACATTGTACAGATGGTAAAAAAAAAATTCAGTCATTGCAAATGGATAGATATACAGTGAAAAGTATATTTCCATTCAGTTTACTGTTGTTTACCAAGGACTTGGTGCTTTTTGAAGGGATCCAAGAATAGCTTATACTCCTATTTTAGTTTACATTTTGTTTCTCCTTTTTTATTTAACCACAATTATTTTTCTCTGTTTTGAAAGTATTCCATAATATTCTCCCTTCTTCCCTCCCCTTCCTCATTCTCTTTTTTCCTCTCTTCATATTAAGGTAAAGGAGGAAAATTGTCCTTAACAGTTATTTGATTATTTATAACTAACCACTCATCTGGTATTCAAGAGTACACAGCAAGAGCAAAATATCTATGAAAATATTAAAGGAGTAACAATATTAAGGATTCTATAAAAACATGGTAGTAAAAAAAAGCAAGTTTACTGTATTCTTAACCCTTCAGCTTAAAACTCAATTTTTTAAAAAGCAAAACTGCTCTTTCTGCCTATGATGGTGCCCGTTAAAAATCTCATGGCACAGGGTGGGCAAAGAAAAGAAGTAGGTCCTAAAGTTTACTCTTGACTATACCCATTCTGTAGAAGATGAAGTCACGGATGCTGCCAACTTTGAGCAGTTTCTTCAGGGGAGAAAGTGAATGGAAAAGCTAGGAATCTTGGTGGAGGTGTTGTAACAATTGAAAGAAGCAAAAGCAAGATTACTGTAACTTCTGAGGTGCCTTTTTCCAAAAGGTATTCAAAATATCTCACCAAAAAATATTTGAAGAAGAATAATCTGTGACTGGTTATGCGTAGTTGCTAACAACAAAGAAAGTTATGAATTGCGTTACTTCCAGATTAATCAAGATGAAGAAGAGGAGGAAGACGAGGAATAAAACTCAATTATCTGGTATATTTTGTATGAGTTCTTGAATAAAACTTAGGAACCAAAAAATATATCTATATAAAAAGCAAAACTGTCCAATCCTTCAATTATGTTTGCTTCCCCTTGAACTTACCCTATACACACATGCCTTTGTGTGTGTGTGTGTGTGTGTTGAAATCTAAAGAAGGTTTGTACCTGAATTAATAGTATTGTATCAGTGACAATTTACTGTTTTTTTTTTTTTTTTTTTTTGCGGTACTCGGGCCTCTCACTGTTGTGACCTCTCCTGTTGCGGAGCACAGGCTCCGGACACGCAGGCTTAGCGGCCATGGCTCACGGGCCCAGCCGCTCTGCGGCATGTGGGATCTTCCCAGACCGGGGCCGAACCCGTGTCCCCTGCATCGGCAGGCGGACTCTCAACCACTGCGCCACCAGGGAAGCCCAATTTCCTGGTTTTGACAGTGTATAATGGTCGTGTAAGATATTGTCATTGAGGGAAGCTGGGTGAGGCAGTCCATGGGAATTCTTTTTCTTTTATGGCTGTGTTGGGTCTTTGTTGCTGTGCACAGGCTTTCTCTAGTTGAGGCGAGAGGGGGCTACTCTTGATTGCGGTGTGCCGGCTTCTCATTGCGGTGGCTTCTCTTGTTATGGAGCACGGGCTCAAGGCGTGCGGGCTTCAGTAGTTGTGGCACGCTGGCTCAGTAGTTGTGGCTCGCAGGCTCTAGAGCGCAGGCTCAGTAGTTGTGGCACATGGGCTTAGTTGCTCCGTGGCATGTGGGATCTTCCCAGACCAGGGATTGAATTTGTGTCTCCTGCATTGGCAGGTGGATTCTTAACTACCACACCACCAGGGAAGTCCCATGAGAATTCTTTGTACTGTTTTTGTAACTTCATGTGAACTAATTAAAAGTAAATATATATATGTACTTTTTATTATAACTTTTTTACATGCATTCCTTTTCTGGGGGGAAGGGTGTATAATTGTATGAATTTTTATCATGTGTAGTTTCAAGTAATCATTACCATAATCAAGATGTGTATGTATATATACACACACACTATACGTCACTTATGTTACCCCTTAATAGTCATATCTTTCCCTCAGCCCTAACCTCTGGCAACCATAGATTTGTTCTCTGTCACTGTAATTTTGTCACTTTGAAGGGTTATGTAAATGGAATTCTGTAGTATGTTATCCTTCAAGATTGACTTTTTTCATAAAGCCTAATGCCATAAACACCTATCCAAGTGATGTTGCATGTACCAGTAATTTGCTCCTTTTTGTTACTGAGTAGTAGTATAGGAACATGGATATTTTAATCATATATTTTGTACTTTGCTTTCCACTCTTCAGACTAGATCTCATGGTCCCAGTTGCATCAGGATATCCAAGCTCAGATCTTTTGTGCAGTTACCTGGAGCCATCCAGAGATATCTGTGGTTGATTACTGAAACCCATTTACTGTTACTTAAGTAATATATATAAAAAAGCTGACAATAAAGGCATAGTTGAAAATGAAGTGAGAAAGGTAAGGGGTAGATAAGAGTGCATAGAATTTTGAAAATGTCCAGAGAAAGGAGAAACTTAGGTCATTCTCCAGATTGTGTTTGACATGTGTTCCTATTACTATTATTATTTTTAATTTGGCGGCACCGCACGGCATGCGGGATCTTAGTTCCCTGACCAGGGGTCCAGCCTGGGCCCTGCCAGTGAAAGCGCCGAGTCCTAACCACTGGACCACCAGGGAATTCCCTCTATCATATTTTCACCGCATGTTCTTAGAGTAGTTTGAGAATAAACCTTTGGAATTGGCAATTTGTTTCATTATACTGTAGCTTTTCGCTAGCATCCCCAAAGTAATCTCTAAGTGGCCAGTAGGTTACTTAAGCTGAATCTAGATCTGACCCTTCATTGATTTGTGGAGCTGGTTTTTCTGAGGATAATGGTTTTAGGCCTGGTTATTACAGTTCTGTTGTTCCACATGAGAAGATTTCCAGAACACTTTCTCTTACAGCTATGGTGATAGATAGAGCAGAAGCTTATGTTATTCTATTAGTGCTGAGCCCTTCTGGGCCTTGCCCTTGATATGTGATCAACTGGTGGAATTTTTCCATCTCTTTCATTTTGTTATCTGGTCTTAATCTTATTCAGGATGCTGAAAAATTCTTACATCTGCTGATGGTCTGAGGTATCTCTGACTCTGGAATTTATCATTGAGTATAGTCAGCTGAGTCTGAAAGATTTAGTTTTAGAGAACACAGTTCTTATCTTAGGTTTCTTGACTTGACTCTTATTGTCCTTTCATTGTTCTTATCAGAACCAATTGTTTTGACACTATGGCTGATGGAGGAATTAGTAATAAAAAGGTAGGTCCCTAGAAGAAGTTGAGACTGTTGCTAGAAATATGCTAAGACTTGGTTTCTCACTAAGGGATCACTTGGGAGATGACATTTGGAGGGACAGAATAGACTTTAGCCAGGCATATTTCAGGCAAGGGCAGTGAAATCCTTGTGTTTAGTACTTTAGCAGATGAAAACAGCTGAGAGTTTTATATGGTTGACAGTATAAACTTTGGGAAAAGGTAAGGCCACACTGTGCTGAATGGAAATGAAAAAAGAAATGGACTTTTTTCCATGGGGTGTGGAATGGGCTGAGACATAAATAGACTAATCACATGGAAGCTCTTAGGAAAATATGAAGCACCAGGGAAGTGAAAATATTATAGAGTGAAAGGAGTTACTTCCACTGTAACTAAAGCCGAGCAGTCAAGTCTAGTAAAAGCCACCATTTAAAAATATTTTTTATTCCTTTATCTCTTTTGGGGTGAAAGAAAATTGTACTAAATTTTCTTTTTTCTTTGTCTTCCTGAAGTTCTCAGTATAATGTTAAACATTGAAGGGCAAGTGGTTGATTTCTCTTTAGAGTGCTTGATTTAAGATCTTATTGTTTATGTAAGGATTTAATAATTATGTGATTTAAAAACAAAGTTTCAAAAATTGTGTAGCCTTAAAGTGGAAGCAGTAACAGAGCTGCAATATTTGAGGTAACAACTTCATAGATTTTTATAGTAATGAAGCTGTTGATATTTAGTTTCTTTCTTTGTTTTCCCTAGAGGTTTTGCTACTTGTTGATGAGTGCTTCAACTTACACATTTATGATGATGTGGGAGTACAGCCACTACCTCTTGTTTCTTCAAGCAATATCTCTCTTCTTGCTAGATAGTTTTTCACTGGAGCAAAGTGAAAAGGTATTATGGCATTTCAAAATTATGATTTTAAATCTAGAGAATAAATGTCTTTATAGGGTTGTATAAAACCACTTAGCTTTTAAGCTTAATTTGAAATGTTTTAATAGGCTCTGATTTATACTTCTACTCAAAAGGTTGCTAAACTTATTCTCCCCTAGTCCTTTTAGAAGCACTTGGAAATTCCCTTAAACATGGTCTGCTTAACCAGAGTCACCCCTGTGCTTCCTCTCTATTTCTAGCTACTTCTCCATCTTCCCTTTCTGTTTCTTTAAAAAAAGAAAAAGGTGAAATATAGGCATGTACAAAAGAGTATATGCATGCTGTATATACAATGTATAGAAAAAATATGAGTATTTGAACACCCAGGCCAAGATATGGAGCATATGAACACTAGAAGCCCCTTTTTCTCAGTCACATCCTGCTCCCTCCCCATCAGAGGCTAACTGTCCTGAATTTTGTTAATCCTTTCCTTCTTTTTCTTTATGTTTTTTTACCACCTATCTGTGTATTCCTAAAACTATGTTGTCAAATAATGTATTGTTTACTTTTGCCTGATTTGCTTCTGAGATTCATCCCTGGTGATGTACAGAGCTATATTTCATTCATTTTTATTTACTGATGTATTCTATTGCTGATGAACATTTCAGGTTTTTTCCAGTTTATTGTTCATATGACCAATGCTGCTGTAACATTTTTATACATGTCACCTGGCACAGAAGTGCAAGATTTTTCTAGAATATATAGTGGAATTACAAGTCAAATTCATAGTGGAATTACAAGTCAAAGGATGTGTACATATTCAATCTAACTAAAGATACCAAGCCTTTCCCCAGAATGGTTATATCAATTTATACTTGTCAGCAGTAAAGGTTCCCATAAACATTTTGTTCCTTTGTTTCTTTATCTTTTTCTCTTTTGCCCTCTCATCTTTTTTTTTTATTTATAAACATGTATTAAGTATTTAATATGTTGTCTAAGCCAGAAATTTGGGAATCTTCTCGCTCTTCTCTTCCTTTTCTTCAGATGGTCCAGAATTCTGATGAGTACCAACATTTAGGTTATTTCAATAGAGAGAATTTAATATAAACAATGATTAACCAAGTATAAAGTTGTTAACTTGTTAAATGAAAAGGTAATAAGTACCTGAAAGTATTATAGAGGTAGCAACTTCAGGAAGCAGCTACCTCCCCTAGAGCTGAGGGCTGAAAGGAAGAATTTGGAATTATTAAAACGTAGAAGCTTAGAGGAGGGAACCCCGTGGAGCTGAAACAGACTTCTGAGGAAGGGCCACTGCTCAGCTTTGCTGGTATCTCTGAACTGGGGAGAAGGGCTCTGTGGAAATGGGACCCAGACTTCTGAGAATGGTACTCTGGCCAGCTGATTCTGCCATCTCTGGGGTAAGAAGATGTGATACAGCTCGTTCTTCAAGTGTTAGGGAAACTGCAGCTGCATCCAGCTGCCTTAACAGGAAGGAATTAACTCTGTTGGAGTGAAGAAGCATTGCTGAGGTGATCCTCCCAGGAGCTGCAGGCTGCAGTAAGGAACACGCCCCTGCTCTCTCCTCCAACTCTTATTATCTCTCGCTAACATGGATTGGCAGAGATTAATAGGGAGCCAAATGAAAAAGCAGAAATGTAGACTGAAGAAGCCGGCCCCAGCATTATGAGGCCGGGATAGAGGGGTAGGTTTGGAGCTAAGAGAACCAGCAGCCAAGATGAAAAAATAGAACATTACCAGCACCCAGAAGATCCCATAATGCCCTCTCTTGTCATTGCTTCAGCCTCCCGACAGTGAGGTATCTTTTTAAAAAATGGCTCTGGCCTTTTTGGGATTTTTTTTCTTTTGGTTTTTTTTTTCTTTTTTTAACTTTTAACACTCTGCCTTTTGATTCCTCCCCCTCCCCCCAACTAGTGTCTATATTTTGTCTTAGTTCTCCCCTTTCTAAAAGGAATTTATTTTATGGCAGATTAAATTATTATACTATAGAATTTTAGAAGAGAAATATAGTAAGACATAACTTTCCTGGGAGATCTTCTATTAGGAAATTGAATTTAACTTTCTTATTGTCACTGTTAAATGGACCAAGTGCGAAATCCTTTTCTCTGGTGCTACATTTCATGGGAGTATATTTTCACCGGATAGGTTTTGGGAACTGCTGCTAATGGTTATGATTTTTGATTTATGCAGCTTGATGTTGCATAGATGGACAAGACAAACCAAGTGAAATTAAGTCAGAGCCTGGGATTAAAGAAGGTTCTTCCAGTCTGATTTAGACATCCATGGTTTCAAAGCTTTTTACTTTGCGGAGAGTTCTTTCTAAAAAGGAAGTGATAAATTAGTTACATCCCATGGCATTAAAACTACGAATTGAATGGTTGTAAATATAATACTGTCCAAAATTATAGTAGAGCATTTACTTTATAATTGTAGTCAAATCTTACGTAATGAAAATATGTACAATAAAATTCATTTAATTCTCATTCATTTTATTTTTGTCCCAACAGGTTCATGAAGTTTATAAAATCTATATATTTTCTCTCTTTCTGGGATATTTACTGCAGTTTGAGAATTCGGCTTTATTGGTATCTCCTTTATTAAGTTTTGTAATAGCCTTAATGCTTGCTAAGTGCCTTCAGGTAATTAGAATTGCCTTTTTATCATTCTTGGGGGGAATTTTTAAATTGTTAATTTTTTTAAACCTCACTTCTTTGTTCATATAATTTTCCTCCCTGCATAGCTGAATGTGAAGAAAGGAACTTTCGTGGCTAAAATAATGAAAGTGATTAATTTTTACTTGGTGTGTACTCTGACAGTGACATTGAATATTATAATGAAAGTAAGTAACTCTGTGTTTGAGATTCATGTGGTAGAGCAAATTGAATAATGAAATATACTGGGCTAAATTTTAACGAGAATAATGGGATAGCAAAGTAAGAGTTTGTACAGTAACATGTTTAGTTGAACAATAATCATACCTAGTATATTAGGTGCGAAAATAGGATTCTGAGTCTTTCCTATAGAAATACTTTTTAAAAATTACACTTTATTTTTCATTTAATTTAAAATGTCATCATTACCCAATTAACACTAAGTAATATATGGAATAAATTCAGATGAGTCAAAGACATTCAAAAGAGTGGGTAAGTTATTTAAGCCAGGTGGGATAAGGTTAAAATCTTCTTACTACCCCATTATAGTTTTATGCTTAACTATAAGGTAATGTGATTGACTATGCCAATAAATCTCCTTGCTTCATAGTTAGATCATGTATTTTTAATTCATATTTTTTGTTTTGTGGTCTTGCTGTATTTTCTAGTTCTAGTATTGGACTAAAGCATATTGCTATAAACTTAGCTAATAGTTCTTTGTTGTAACTAGTGTTTTTCTCCTTCAGATGTTTGTCCCCCACAAAGAAAATGGACATATGCTGAAATTCCTTGAAGTAAAATTTGGACTAAATATGACTAAGTAAGTTTTAGATTATGTAAGTTTACCTAACTCTGTAGTACTTAGAAGATAAAGAGCAAAAATAATCAAAGGAGGGAGTACACACCTAATTACATACCACTTAGAAAATAATTTGGGATATTACAATATCTAGAAGAAATAAGACATCAATACTTTTCTCATTTAAAAAAAAATCTCATTTAGGTCTTTTAAAATTAGATATACTTAAACCTCAATAGCATCACAGTATGTTGAGGCTACTTTCCTTGATGAGGAGTGATGATACAATCTAAGGTCAGAATAAATTAAAGATTTAAAATGAATAAAGAACCAAGGAAATTTTAACCACTAACTGCAAAATGTTATATTACAAAGAGTATGGGTGTAAATCAACTATAGTTCAATTAAAAAAAAAAAAGTTCATGATATACTCCAAATCTATACTTAAAAAAAAAAAGGGCATAGGCATTAAAAATGGGGTGGTCAGTAAGATATTTATTTCATAGCAAAGAATCTTATCTTTGGTCATAATAGTGGATTGGACCAGAAGCTGACTTTTTAAATTCAAAAATAGTGTTGTACCTTTTGTTGTTTAAATGCATTTTTTAAATCTAAAATGAAATAAATGATTTTATGTACTGATAGAGTCCATTTGCATAACAGAAAATATATATTTACCTATACATATCTCAAGTTCATATAGTAGACCGTAGAATCTTATAATCGTTTGCTGGGATTACATGGGATTTTAGATACTGTGAATGAAATTTTATGTTGTGATATATCAGTTAACCAAGTGTTTGACATTGCTTAGACACTGGAGAAGCCTTCTGAAGTGTAAATCGTATATGGCTATCTAGTAAGATAAAAGGATCCTTTAAGAGGCCATGTGCTTCATAAAGGTAGGGACCATGTCTTTTTCAGGTGTATTTGTAGGCCTGACACTCATCAGGCAACTAGTAAAAGTTGGTTGCAGACCTCCATAATTGACTGGCCTTTTCACTGATTTTCTCTTTAACCTTGGAAGACTCTAGAATGAGCTTAGCATTAAGCTCTGCTTTTGTCCAGTGTTTCTTAGTTGATGTTCTATAGTGCGCCTTTGTTCCTCATGTCAGGTACTAGGCTTCACAAGGTAATATACTGGGTATTTTAAGATTAAGACTTATTAATCTTGTCCTTAAGAATATTGCTGGCTCATTAGATAGTTTTTATACAATTAATGGCATGGGTGGTGTAAATAATAAGTGCCTTATGTGCAAATGTGCCAATTGGATATCAGGATTTGTAATTCACCAGAATTTCAGGAGACATTTCTGTTGAGACGGAATTTTAAGAATCAGTAAAGAGGGCTTCCCTGGTGGCGCAGTGGTTGAGAGTCCACCTCCTGATGCAGGGGACACGGGTTCGTGCCCCAGTCCGGGAAGATCCCACATGCCGCGGAGCGGCTAGGCCCGTGAGCCATGGCCGCTGGGCCTGCGCGTCTGGAGCCTGTACTCCGCAACGGGAGAGCCCACAACAGTGAGAGGCCCGCGTACCACACACACAAAAAAAATAAATAAAATAAAAAGATGTTAAAAAAGGGGCTTCCCTGGTGGCGCAGTGGTTAAGAATCCGCCTGCCAATGCAGGAGACACTGGTTCGAGCCCTGGCCCGGGAAGACCCCACATGCCGCAGAGCAGCTAAGCCCGTGCGCCACAACTACTGAGCCTGTGCCCTAGAGCCTGCGAGCTGCAGCTACTGAAGCCCGCGCGCCTAGAGCCCCCGCTCCGCAACAACAGAAGCCACCGCAATGAGAACCCGCGCACAGCAACAAAGACCCAACGCAGCCATAAATAAATAAAGAAAAGAAAAGAAAAAAATCAGTAAAGAAGTGTTAATAAATATTTATTTAATGTGCAAGATACTGGGCCAGGTACTCTGGGGGATACAAAAATGACTACGATCTAACGCATAGCAGATTGCATTAAGCACTATAATAAAGGGATAATTAAAGTGCCATGGGAATATGGGGAAGGAAGGATTGAGACGGGGGTTATGGAAAGAATATCATTAAATTGGAATTTGAATTAGACCTTATAGAATCAGTTACTTTAGTAGGCAGATTTTTAAGACGTGCTTTCGTCCTAGGTACAAAATATTTTGATGGCAGCCTCTTTGATACAGTTGTATAGCTGTTTGGCACATTGTGAAACTTTAACCTTTTAGTTTAAACCCAGTGATTTGTGAAGCATTCTCAATCCATCCGTGAGCACTCCTGAACATCATTCCATCGCTCACCTCTTCCCCCAGGGCTAGGAATTTGAGAATTAAATGGAGGTTGAAGATGGATTGGGAGTGAGAATGCAGATAAATCTACGTATAACTACGAGGCTTGTTGATTATATTTAGTGTGGGTTAAAAAAAAAAGTTTATCCTGACTGTTATAGCTCAAAAAACTTACATTTCCCATTTTATGATTTCTGTCTTAATAATTAGATACCTCTTATTAAAATGGGTCCTAGTTAAGTTACATTTATCAATATAAAACAGGGCTGTCCAATAACAATATGACATTAGTTGCATACATAATTTTCTAGTAGTTGCATTAAAAAAAAGTAAAAAGAAACAAGTGAATTTAATTTCAATAACATACTTTATTTAATCCAATATATTAAAAATGTTATTTTAATGTGTAAACAATATAAAATTATTGAGATATATTTTGTATTTTTTAAATTCCTTTTTTCTTGATTTTTTTATCTTTGAAGTCCAGGGTGTATTTTGTGCTTAAAGACTATCTCCATTTGCACTGGCCACATTTCATGTGCTATTAGCTACGTATAGCTAGTGGCTATCATACTGGACAGTGCTGTTAGAGGTTAGACAGTTGAATTTTTTTGTTATCTTCCAGGTAAAAATAGAAAGTAAAACTCCCCTAAAACTGTATTGGGTTCTAGAGATGGTCACATTGCTGGATCATAAAAATGTAGTTTTAAATTTATTAGGGCAGTTTGTTGAGGAGGGTTACTAATGCTATTATTTTCATTTATAAAGGGTATGACCTTTCTGTTGTAAGTTAACGGATTTAGGAAGTGCGTTTAGTTTTGTCTTAGTTTTTACTGAGATGGAAAAAATAATTTTAAGTTCAGTACTTTAAAACATCTGTGATTTTAATATCATGCTTTTGTTTTCTGTAGGAATTTTACAATGAATTGGCTCCTATGTCAAGAATCCCTTCAAGCACCATCTCAAGAATTTTTTTTGCGATTGACACAGTCTTCTTTATTACCTTTCTATATTTTAGTGTTAATTACTTGTTTTCTTTCTATGATTCAAGTTATTTTTAGGAGAATTAAGTAAGTACCTAGGAGAACCAATCATATTACTAACTAATAAATTATGGAAATATAGAAAACTTATTTTTAATATCCTTCCAATATTTGTGTGTTTTAGAGTTTCTAATTGAATTCTCTCTTTATCAGTGTATAAAATATCATTATAAGTTAAGTAGATGAAATTCAAATTTAAGCTTATACATCTAAATATGTAAGATTCATATTTATTTATTTAGGCAGTGCCGGGTTTTAGTTGCGGCACATGGAATCTTTAGTTGCGGCATGCATGCGGGATCTAGTTCCCCGAGCAGGGATCGAACCCAGCCCTCCAGCATTGGGAGTGTGGAGTCTTACCCACTGGACCACCAGGGAAGTCCCTGTAATGTCCATTTTTAATGCAGGAATAATATTTAAATAATCAGTTAAACTTTTACAGACTAATTTACTCAGATTTTTTATTTACTGTAAGCATAATTTTTTCTAATTACTTGAAACTAGTAGTATAAGTGATTTCAAATTATAAAGTTTGACTATTTAAAAATATTTTTATCAAACTTGAAAGGAGGCTGTGTGTAGTAACTTAATTTTGAGAACTTAGTAATTCAAATTATTATTTAACTGTATTGATTTAACAATCATTAGTTTAGTGATAATTCATCTTGGAAAAGGAACCTATGTATCTTTTTTATTATATTTCCTGAACTTTCATGTTTAGTCTTTATTGAGGCAGTTGTCTTCAAGCTTCAATAGCCATTTTCAAAGACTTGGAGATACCTAAGTTAGGTATTTGACCAGCAGAATATACTTTCAAATTTTAAGAACTACCTATATTTTTTTTAATGAAGATATTAAAGATCTTTGATTTTTCAAATAAATATTTTCAAAGTAGTAAAAAAAACATTTCTTTCACTAGTGGTAAGTCCCTGAAAGAAACTATTACGCTTGAAGATGGACAAATTGGAGAAAGGCCAGAAATAATTTATCACGTGATTCACACTATTTTATTGGGCTCTCTTGCAATGATTATAGAAGGGTAAGTGTATATTTGAGCCATTTGTTTTTACAAAGAATTGTCCTTTCTAATGGTAGTTAATGGATACTTTGAAGAACACATTTATAAAAACGCTATAAAAACTCAAAAAAACCTTAATCTAACTGGAGTTTAGAGAGGTGTTTATAGTACAGTGAACCGATATTTACTTAGTAATTTATTTGTTCAAAAACTATTGAATGTTTTCCAAGGGCCAGGCATTGTGCTAGGTGCTGGGGGTACAGTGGTGGACAAGATTCTCTAACCTTATGTGACTCATGGTCTATTGAAGGTGACAGATGCTAACCACACAAAAATAAAATTATAACTTTGATAAGCGAAGGAGAGGTAAATGGTGTTATGAGGGTGAGGGTGAGGGTTCAATATACCCTTTTCTTTGAAGTTTGGCTCAGATGAGAAATAAGACATAGGAGTATGAAGTGGTTCTGAGCACCCAATTTCAAAGTGGGGAGGAGGTTTCTTCATACCAACAAACAATTCTCTGGACACCAGCTGGGTATCCTACAATTCAACTCAATTTTGACTATCTGCCAGAAGTACCATCAGAATCTACAGGCTTGGGTTCAGTCCAACAAGACTCCCCTGCTACCTCTTCAGACACCAGTTACAAGTCCAGGTTGTCACCTGTGTTTCTGGTGAACTGGCTATAGATCAGAGGTTCCCAAGACCCGCTCCTCAGGTTTGATTAATTTGGTAGAGCAGCTCACAGAACTCAGAGAAACATTTTACTTACTGGTTTATTATCAAAGGATATAAATCAGGAACAGCCACATGGAAGAGGTTCATAGGGCAAGGTATGGGGAAAGGGCTGGAGCTCCCATGCTCTCTCCAGGAGAGAGAAATCCCTACATGTTCACCAACAGGGAAGCTCCTGAACCCTGTACTTTTGGGTTTTTATGGAGGCTTTATTACGTAGGCACGATTGATTAAATCATTGGCCATTGGTGATTGAACTCAGCCTCCAGCCTCTCCCCTCCCCAGAGGTCTGGGGGCAGGACTGAAACTTCCAACGCTCTCATCACCTGGTTGGCTCCACTGGCAACCAGTCCCCATCCTTAGCTGCTTTCCAAAAGTCGCCTCATTAACATAATAAAAGATACATTTAAGCTCTCAGCGCTTAGGAAATTCCAAGGGTTTGGGGAGTTGTGAGCCAGAAACCCGTGGTCAAAAACCAAATATATATGAGGAATATATTTTGGTCATCTGAATGATTCTGATTCTGATAAAAGTTGCATTGGAGAACTCTTTTTCATGTGTGACCAAAAGGCCTTTGAATATCTTCCACCCCAAACTGAGTTTAGTCCTTAAATTTCAGGCCTTCCCTCTTGAATGGCCAGAGCCTTGGTAAGCCTGCTGCACCTATATACACCCATGCTGCAAAAGGAAGATCCAAAATGTAAAAGCCTATAAGTGTTTGTTGAGTATTGTCACCTCACACTCACAAATCAGGTAAATTGCTGCCACAAGGAGGAGCAGTTAGGGTTCTGAAGTATAGGGAGGGGAATAAAAGCAGGGAGAGGTGAAGAATATTGATACAGTATAAGATTTAAGTTTCCTTTAATTATGAATACAGATACAGAATCACAGTCATTTTAGCAGTACCCGTGGTGCTTTCACCAACAGAAAGCATAGTTATTTTCTCATTGTACTGGTTTTTTACAGGTATCTTGAATATTGTTTATATACATCACTACTTCAAAATTATAGTAATTATTAGACCTGCATTTAATGTATTAATAAACAAGTACAAATATTGCTGTATTACAAATACAAATTTTATTATTTAATATCAGTATTTCAGTATAATTGGTTTCCTTTGTAAGCCTATGTATTTTATGCATTTAGAAATGTTTTCTTATAAGGGGTCCACAGACTTTATCAGACTGCCAAACCCATGACAAGGGGGTATCTCTATGGAAACTTGAAGTGAGAATAAGTTTCACTCTAATAACTAGCAATCCATAGTACCTAAACAGGATGAAGAAGTGTATTAATCCATGAATATTTTAAGTGATTCAGGGTTTGATTCTCATCTTGTTGCCTAGTAGTACTAGAATTTGGAGCATGGTTTACCTTTTTCCCCTCCTTCCCCTCCTTCCTCAGTTTTATTTCTCTCTGAAAAAGAACTTTTTGTTATTCCCACCATTCTTCATTGTTGGATCTGTCATTTTAAGTTCAAGATCCCTTTTTTGAACATGTAATCTGCATTATTCTATCATTGGTCCTTGATTCTCTAATTTACTCACTAGACCTCTAAGACACGATCATCTATTCATGCAGATAACTTGCATGGTCCCCTAGGAGGTGCCAGGCACTCCACCAGGTAGGCAGTAGGGATTAGAGAGAGATGAAATCTAGTCTTTTTGAATCTTTTCAGAGTTCCTATTCTAGATAAGTAAACCAAGAGCTAGAACAAAGTAAAATACTATGAGAAAGGTATACAGAGGGTGCTCTGGGCATCCAGAGGAGAGGTACTAACTCACTTGTGGAAGGTAGGTAGGGGAAATCAGCTTAAGGGAGATTTTCTAAACAGGGCCACAGTCTTGAGAGATAGAGATTGGCCAGGCTGTCAGTTTTCTCGTGTGTGTGTGTGTGTGTGTGTGTGTGTGTGTGTGTGTGTGTGCGCGCGCGTGCGTGTGTGTATAATAATCTGGGAAAAAGAAGTATTCTTTGGGAACCAATACTATGGGACGAATGTGAGGGAAATAGCGAGATATGTCCGGAAAAATAAGCAGGGAACAGATCAAATGTTTTAAGCAGAAGTTTGATATGATCAACTTTACTCTTTTATGGAAAATCTCTCGGGCAGCAATGATTGAGAAAGATTTGAGGAAAACAAGATTAGAGGAAGATAAACCAGTTAAGAAGGTATCATAGTAGAATCTAGAAGTGAGTAGCGATGGAGATGGAGTAAAGGGGCCAAAACTAAGATATTTGGGAATTGGAAACTAAATAAGGAGTTGCAGGGACTGTGGTGGAGGGATCCTAGGAAGAGTTGCAATTCAGAAGCCAAAGGAGGAGTTTTTAAAGGATATGATCAGAGAGAAAAGAAGCTGAGGAAAGAGAGATGAGTGTAGACTTCAAGAAGTCTGGCTATAAAGGGAATCAGAGGCTAAGGCAGCAACTAGAGAGGGGTGCAGTTTTACCAGGAGGGAGAAACTTGTGTGCATTATGGGATGGAAACACTGAGATTGTTCTGCAAACTCTGGCTGGAACTCTAATCATTTAGGGAAGTAGTAGAAAAAACTGAAAAGGTATGTCGGGACCATATTTTAGAGGGCCCTGAAAACCATTTGAGTGAGTTTTCATTTATTTCTGTAGGTATTGGGAAACTAAAGATTTTTGAACAGAACATGTCTTCTCATAGTTATGTTTGAAAAGGATTCATCTGGCATTTGGTTGAATTGGAAGAGAATTTAAAAGTTGAGATGTTAATTAGCTGGCTATTGACATAAAATGGTAAGGAGAGGTTGTATACGAAGAAATCAGTGGATTGGCACAATGGTCCAATGTCTAGAGCAGAGAGTTTGTGTTCCAAGGAATGTCATATACATGTAATTCAATGTGAGTAGTCTCTCCTGGAGTTATAAACCAGACTCTAGTATTGATTCTGGCTGACTGGAAAAATAGGTTTGGTATTTTCTGAAATGGGGAAGTTATTGGTTTTAGGAGTTACTGGTTAACCAGAGGAAACGAATGCAATTCCTCTGTCTTAGCAACATGTATTCTATATACATCCAGCTACTTCTCTCAAAGCCTGATTCAGTATTCATTGTTTTAAACCTTAAGTACATTCTCAAATTGGTCCTTTTGCTTTCATATCACCCTAGACCTTATCTAAATTTTTTATACTTATTTTCTAATTGTTTCCCATGTGTTCAGTTTTATTCCATCTTAATAAAGCCCTCCTTGAGGGCTGTAGCCATGTCTTGTTTTTCTTTTTTTCTCTCTAGTACTTTGGTCACCCTGAAGTGTATGATCAATAAATTTTTATTAGATGAATGTTACTTTGTTTTCCCCATTTCATAGCTTTGCTGTTTTATAAAACCACAATAGTTCACATTTGTACTCTGGCCTCGTATTCTTCTAGTCTCTTTCGAGTTTGTCATCAAAGAATATATCTTAGAAGGATCTTATTGTTTCCTTAGTCTTAACTACAAAAGTTATCTTCTGAGATGTTATTTTTCCTTGATAATCTGTGTGAAGCAATGACATCCACAAAGTTTTCTAAACTCTTCCTCTTCTGTCTTCAGCTTTTACCATCACCTAGTGTGATGGGTTTCTTTTGTTTCCTGTACAAGTTACAACTTAAAGTAAGGTACTGCCTTTTATTTGCACAAGTTCATTTTTCTGTACACCTGGATTTTTAATCTTTTTAAGTTAAGGGCCCTAATTTTTCAATCCTGTTTTTAAAAAATTAATCTCAAAAGTAATAATGCAGATTGTTTAACAAACCCAAATAATATAGATATGTATGAAGTAAAAAATGAAAATCCTTCCGTCCCAGTCCTCAGAGGTCACAACTGTCAGCAATATCTTTTCAGATGTTTTTTTTTTGGCTATACTGCATATATGCACATTAGAAAAAAAATCACCAAAAAACTAGGGTAACAGTATACATAAAATTTTGCAGTTTGCTTTTTTGTTTTTCATAAGGATTTATTATTTAATCAGTACCTGTTGAAGGATAGTTAGGTTTCTTTTTTTTTTTTGCAATTAAAACAACATACTGCAGTTAAAACCCCACATGTATATCTTTATACATTTATGCTAATATATCTGTAGGCTAGTTTACTAGAAATGGGATTGTCTTGTATTGAGAATTTTTATAGGTTCTGCCAAATTGCCTTCTGAAAAAGTATAACAGTTTATGTTCTCTCCCAGAGTACAATTTTACTATACCTCATCTATATTAATGTCTTATTGCATCCTCATTTTAGTAACCCACATGTCTCTTGATTATTTAAGCAGTGAGTAACAATATGTTGCTGAAAATTAGAGGCTAAGCTTTTTCATTGTCCTTCAACATTGTGGTATTTTCATGAGTATTAGGAAAGAACTCAGAAAAGAGAAATCACATAATAATTATGTTTATAGGATAGCTCATGTATGACTCTGTCTTTTCCAGCGTGAAATACCTCTGGACTCCTTATGTGTGCATGTTAGCAGCATTTGGTGTATGTTCTCCTGAACTTTGGATGACACTTTTCAAGTGGCTTCGATTACGAACTGTACACCCAGTATTGTTGGTGAGTCATTGTTATTTTGTGTTAAGTTCTTGTTTCTCTTTCAGTTATATAAATGGGAACCACATGAATACAATTAAAATAGCATGAGTATGGCTTCCCTGGTGGTGCAGTGGTTAAGAATTCTCCTGCCAATGCAGGGGACATGGGTTCGAGCCCTGGTCCAAGAAGATCCCACGTGCTGTGGAGCAACTAAGCCCGTGCACCACAGCCGTTGAGCCTGTACTCTAGAGCCCATGAGCCACAACTACTGAGCCCGCATGCCACAACTACTGAAGCACACAAGCCACAACTACTGAGCCTGCCTGCTGCAACTACTGAAGCTTGCGCGCCTAGAGCCCATGCTCCGCAACTGGAGAAGCCACTGCAATGAGAAGCTCGCACACCGCAACGAAGAGTAGCCCCCACTCGCCCGCATGAGAGATAGAGAAAGCCCGCGTGCACCAATGAAGACCCAACACAGCCCAAAATAAATAAATAAAATAAATAAATTTATAAAAAATAATAGCATGAGTAAATCGCATTATGATTTATAGGTAGAAAAAAAGAAAAAGATTCTATGGCAAACATTTTTTAATAATTTCTGATTATAAAAATAGGGTGTTTTCAATGCAGACTACTTAAAAAATAGAAGGTAAAAATATAAGTGAAGCAATGTGAGAGGCTTTCAAAAATTAATTTTGATAATATTTTTCTCAGTTTGATTTAGAACTATGGAATGTTTTCAGTGAGAATGCAACATTTACACTGTGCCTGCTATGTGTAATGTGCTTGCAGTAAAAAGATAAATGAAACATGATTAGGGGAATTCCTTGGCAGTCCAGTGGTTGGGACTCCACACTTCCACTGCAGGGGGCACAGGTTCGATCCCTGGTTGGGGAACTAAGATCCTGCATGCCCTTCGGTGCGGCCAAAAAAAAAAAAAAAAAAAACAGATTAATTTCATCAAGTGGATTATAGTCTCCCAGTCATAAAAACAGATAAGAAGTGTTGATAGGGTGCTGTTGGAACAGAGAAGGGCTAAGTAATTCAGTTTTTTTAGGGATTCCCTTTGATGTATTCAAAGGGAATAAAAACAGAGGTAAAGAAAAAGCACGATATATTTAGTTTTGTTGGCACATAAAATGTGAGGTAATAGTGGTCAAGAAATGAGACTGGAGAAGTCTAGGAGGGTAAGGTCATCGAGGTCTTTGAGTGTCCTGTCATGCTTGGTGCTATCCCACAGGCAGTAGGAAGACAGTGACATGTTTATGCAAGGGCAGGAGAGAGTCAGCCTTACATTTTCTCTCAGCTCACCCTTATAGTTCTGTGAAGGATGGGCTTAAGGGTGAGAGACTGGAATCAGGAAGGAGGCTGTCACCCAGGTACAGGCCATGGAGAATGGAAACGATAAAAACTTCAATTGTTTTGAGAGCTCACTATGTGTCAGGTACTGTTTGAAGCATTTCACATGCTATTCAAAGCTTACAAAGATCCTGTTAGTTAAGTTTTATTATCTGTATTTTATAGACAAACTAAGGCATAAAGTGGTTAAATAACTCACCCAAGATCACATAACTTGTAAGTGTAAGAACCGTGATTCACTCCCGGGTTCTTCTAGCTCCAAAGCCCATTTAATTAATACTGTACTACGCTGAAGTGGAAAAAATAGTTAGAAGAGTAATAAGATTTGGTGCCTCGGTAAGTATGGGAGAAGGAAGAATAGGGAGAAATCATAGACGTTTCTTAGGTTTTGGGTTTGTGTGACTGGATTGTGGGGTCACCAACAGACATGGGACAATAGGAAGAGAACAGGTTTTGGTAGGAAGATGATAAATTATCTCTAATAATAGTCATGTTGTATTTTGCCAGTCTTTTTCCAGAGGAATTTATGCATTCTTATCTTAGCATAGTAGTATATTGATGTATATTGGCTATTTTTCCTGTGTTAATTCATTGTCTTTTTGTTGTTGTTAGCTGTTTTCATAGCAGTTCAATGTTTTTTGTAAGCTCTTCATAAGTTAAATTCCTGGAAAAATTGTCAAATATTGACTTACTATTTGAAATATTGCGATGTGCATTACCCTTTTTATGTTCTGCCTTAAATTTATATTGCAAATATGTATTTCTCACTTTGTCTCCAGCTTGATATAAAATTTATTATTCTTCACCCATCTCACTCTGTGAACTAGGTTCCATGCTGACTCCAATTTCTCGGACTGAAATTGTTATAACTGTAAGAATATTTGATTGGTCATAGAGTCCGTGTCTAGTACCTCTATAGTACATTCTGAAATATATTTATCCATAACCCTTTTTGCTTTAACATTTTAGGCTCTCATTCTGAGCATGGCTGTCCCTACCATAATAGGTCTCAGCTTATGGAAAGAGGTAAGAAAATTAGATTTTTCATAAGATGAAAATATATGTTATCTATAAGGTAGTGATAAATTTATATGTGTGTGTAGGATACTTATATTGGAACAGTATTCTAACAAAATAAAGCGTGATATACTTAATAATACATAATTTTCTACCAATAGGAGCATGATAGAAGAGGTAAGACAGTTTTACTCTGATGCAATTTTCTGTAGTCTAATACTGGTATTAATTCAGTTTATAATTGACAAAGGAAATGGCTGAATAAATGGTATTTATTAGTAAATAGTAAAAAGTATTTTGGCAATCCCCAAATTTAAATATTTATAAAATAATGTAAACTCTTTGGGTTATCATAATGTAACATGAAATTAATTGCCAGTAAACCTGTGAATTATTTGACTTGATCTGAAATTTATTTGTTTGCTTACTTATTTATTCAGTGTGCATGTGCATGAAAGATACAACTGATGATTAATTGTTTGGTTGATAAAATTATGTATTGAGCGTAGGCAGTGAATTAACCATACAGTAGATTATTTGGGCTGAGAAGAACTAGCAAGAAACTGAAGGAGAGTAAAGCAATTCATGCCATTTTTTCTGTGAGAACAGTGTTGTAATATTGTTTGTCATAAGTTGGCCTCTTAGTCTTTGGAAGTACTCTGAAACAGTTTTAAACTTTCTAATTACTTACACACAGGTTTTGGGGATTTTGTTTTGTATTTTAGTTTTTTCCAAGATTAATGACAGAATTAATGGAACTACAAGAATTTTATGACCCAGATACGGTGGAACTTATGACCTGGATAAAGTAAGAACTGAACTGCCCAAGACTGTTGTTAAGCTATTAATTAATCATTGAATGCTATTTAATGGATTCAGGGGAAATAATAAATTAATCCTTTTCCAAGTTCTTCTCATAAATCTCAGGGATTTTACCCTGTATTTTTAGGGATATTTAGTTTTCATTTAGACATATAATTCTAATTTTCTAATTGAACTCATTTCCAACAAAATATAGTATTGATAAGTTTTAGATATGAAACTCTAGCTGTTAAACATCTAGAAATGTGGAATAAAAAGGAACCGATGTTCTTTTATTTAGATAGTCAAGAGATGCTTCTTTTAACTGGAGTTGGAGGTGAATGAGCGGTGGATTTCTAGTCTTGATCACCAAGGTTAACAAGATTTAGAATTTTAACACTCATGCAGATTTTAATACGACAGGAGATGTGCTCTTGGGCCTATAGAAGCTGGGAATTTTAATTGAAACACCTCGTTCCCTCCCCTAACATACATATATAACTAAGGGACCCTCAAAGGGCTACACCATCAGTGAAAGGATGGACTATCACAAAATAGCCATCAAGTGGTAGAGAAAGATAAGAAAGCACATCTTCCTCGGTTTCAGCTCTTGGTCAGAAATAAAGTGTCTCCTCTGAATTTGTAGCAATGCATCTGAATTCACATGTTTGTAGTTTGAAATTATACTTGTCTAATCCAGGAAACCCTATATCAAGAGATTAGCATAAAAAGTGGTTCTGGGATGGTCTGGAGTGCCTGATATAATCCTCAACCCAGGCTACCCAGGATTTCACAAATAAAGCTTCATGAAGATAAGCTCTAAAGTTACAAAACACATGAAGAAACAGTTCAACACAGCAACAATCAGTTGTTGGTTGTGATAAGCAATAGAAGTAGACTTCTAGCAATTTCTGGTAATAAAATTTGCTTGTGTCAGTTTTTGCTGCACAGTGGACTACCACAAAACTTAGTGGCATACAAACAATAAACATTTGTTATTTTGCACCATTTCAGTGGTCAGCTGAGTAGAAGCAATTGGTAGGATTCTTCTCGTCTGGGCCAGCTCATCTGGGACTGGATAGTCTGGCATGGCCTTTCTCACATGTTTAGACTGGATAGGTGTCACTGAGGTCATGGAGTTGACTTAGCCACATGCTTCTCATTATCCAGCCCAGGTGAGACTGGGCTCATTCATAAGGTGGTGGTTGTAGAGTTCCCAAGAGCAGCAAGAGAGGACAAGTCTCAAGGTCAAGCGTGTTTTAAGTGTCTGCTCAAATTATGTTTGCTGTTGTCCTGTTGGCCAAAACAAGTCACATGACGAAGACCAGCATTTCCTCCAAGAGCATACCTATAGAAAAGAATCATTGTAACCGTTTTTCCAACCAGTCTACCCTATGGATAGAGACTATGAAATAGTATGAAAATTTTTAAACACATAGAAGAAGAAACTAAAACTTGAAAAAGGAATGAAACACTCTCAGAAAAGGCCAGGATAATAGGGGAAAAAAGGCAAAAAATGTTTCTAGAAATGAGGAATAGGTTTATAGAACAGGTATATAGAAATGAGAATAATAGGTCTTATTATAACGTCTCGTTATTATAATGACACCTCTTGTATGTATAAAAATTATTATTTTTTTAGATCATCCTTAACTACTGCCTATTAATACTTTTTTGTGAATTGTATTTACCTTTGTGGAACACTGACTATATAGCCTTGTGTTGTCATTAACAAAAGAGAAAGTCACATCTATGTGTGTGATTTACCTCAATATTTTAAAAAACAGCAAAGGCCTGAACATTGGACCTTTTACATCAAATGATTGGACATTTATGTCACTGTGTTGTGATTTTTTTGTTTCCCCATTACTGAGGGCTCTTTGAGGACAGTGGCTGTGTGCTGTCTCTCTATTTTCAGAGCTTGACAATATCACTAGCACATAGTAGGTAGATGCTGAATGTTGAATACAGGGAGGTAATAAATAGGTCAGGACATAAGAGCGGCCCTTTGGGACCTGTCTTGTGAGTGGCATCTGTCTGGGACTTTGGATTATGATTTAGAGTAGAGAAGTCCTTCATGTGTTATCTGGAGATAGACATATGGGTAAAGGTAGGGAAGGAGCAGGAGGATAGATGGATCTGGAAGGAGTTGGGTTCTGGTGGTTAATATTTGCCAAAGACGAATTTGAGAATTCACAGTATCAGCATTGAATTGTCACTCCCATTACCCTGCATTTTTTTTTTAATAGCATTATTACCACCTGACCTGTATGCTTATCCTCTCCCCCTGCTCCCTCTTGAAAGCAGGGACCTTGTCCTCCCACCTCTCTTTTTAAAATATTTATCTTTAGCAGTCTGAACAGTTTCTGGCACATAATAGGTGCTCAGTTTTTTTTTTTAATAAATCCAAAAATGAAATGAAATGAAAACTGACACTGAAACTTAAGTGTGCAATACATTTTAAGTTGCTTGGTATTTCAGAATTGATATAAATCAGTGATCTAAATAGTATACTTACCTTTTCAGTGTGTGAATCTTTATGGTTCTTTGCAGAAGGCAAGCTCCAGTCGCAGCTGTTTTTGCAGGAAGTCCACAGTTAATGGGTGTGATTAAATTATGCACTGGATGGATGGTGACAAGCTTGCCTCTTTACAATGATGATGATCTTCTCAAGAGAAATGAAAATGTAAGGCATTTTAGATTCTACATTTGGATCATTTTTATTTGACTCCTTAGTATAGTTCTGTAATGATGCATATGTTCCTGGTTAGCTAGGAAAATCCAGACAATTTTAGAAGAGTTAATTAGCTTTAGTTTTAAAAAAAAGCTGTATAATACATTTAATCAGGAGAGGCCAACATTAGAATATGAAGTTCTTTGTTTTATGGGAAGTATGGATATATTTCTAGGAGAAACATTTCATTTCCCATAAGGTTTCAAGGGACTGATGTGTAATATTTTATAAAGGGAAGCATTCTTTTGAGAATATCATTGTTCTCAATGAAATTATTGAAGGAAGGCTTTCAGTTAATGTCTTTATACACTTTGTATTTCCAAGCCAAAATTCTATTATTGCTTATAAAACACTGATTGATTTTTCATTATGGGCTATTATTAATAACTTAGTATAACATTAGTATGGTATCTAATTGCTTCTTCTTCAGAGAATATATTATTTTGCATGTTTGGTATGGATTTAAATAGTAACTTCATATCTGAAGGTAATGACCAACTGAACCTGAGTTCTAAATATTCTGTTTTTCAGTTGGAGAGAATTTCATATAGTTTTTAAGTGTACTCTAAGCTAAGGAGGAAGTATAGCAATATAGAAGTTAGACTCTAAGCTTTGTGACCTTGAGCAAGTTTCTGAATCTGGAAGTAATAATAATTCTTACCTCCTAGTTGTGAGAATTAAATAAGATAATGCACTATGCCTGAAACAGTAAAATTTAAGTGTTAGCTAGTATTAATATGTACTATTAAATTATAATTGTATGTGCGCACACACATTCACATATAACCACAGAAAGTAGAGAGGAGTTCAAAAGCAGGAGCAGTCAGTTCTGCCTACAAAAATCCAAGTCTTCATAAAGGGCATTTGCTTGATCTGGGCTTTGAAGGATGATTAGAAGCTTGTTTGGAAAAAGAATACAGTGATTCCAGGTTAAAAAAGTCACATGAGCCTTGAAATTTGTTTGGCCATGAAACTGGAAAATAAATAAGGCCAAATTCTGGAGGACCTGGAAGGTCATGCTTAAGAATTTAGACTTACCCTAGAGGCATTTGGGAGTCGTCAGAGACCTTTCATAAGCCCAGGAGTGGAACCTTAGATCTGTTTTAGAGTTAATTAAGGTCAGGGAACAGTTGAAGCAGGGGAGAGGTCAGAGACGGGGGAGATCTACCTTTAGATCTACCTTTCAGTGATTTACCTGAGAGACAACAGCTGCCTCTGATTAGTATTTGCTGCAGTTGAAAAGGTAGTGTTGCTTAGAAGATATACTACTGCATATTCCTAAACTTTACTTTTTGTGGCTTTAAACCAACAGACTCTGACATGGCTTTGTTTTCTTTGTTGTCTTTTGATTGGTCTTTGTCCTAATATAGAATTTCAGAGTCACTTATAATTAGGTCAGAGTTCTAATTAGGTTCTAATTAAATTTAAACATTTTAGAGTTTTTAGTTTTATGTGACTTGGCTGTGAGAATAGAAACCATTTTTTTTTTTCAAATCTTGGTCTTTCTATATGGTGTCTAGTACATAGCAAGTACTGAATAAATTTGTTGTTAAAATAGAATTCAAATTGAACTCCATAAGTGAGACCATACCATGTGAATTAGACACTGTCTATAATTCATAACATGGGACTGATCTTTATAATCAGTGATTATAGGCCAGTGATTCTCAAACCTGGGAAGATGGTGCTCCCAGGGGACATTTAGCAATGTCTGGAGACATTTTTGGTTGTCACAGCTAGGGGAGGGGTTCTACAGACACTTAGTGGGTAGAGACCAGGGATACTCTTAAACATCCTCCAATGTACAGAGCAGCTTCCATTCTGTCCTGACAAAGAATTATCTGGCCCAAAATGTCAATAGCGTTGAGGTTGAGAAACCTCACTCTAGTCTAACAGTAATGTTATTGCCATTGCATAGAGGTGTTTTTTATAGGCCCCAGTAGTATGTTACAGTTTCCCCAAACTTAAAAATAAGTAAAAAAATATATAAAAAACTATAAATAAGTATAAGCTGGATAAGATAGAACCATTCACATGAACTTATTTAACAAAGTGAAATGAGTGAGAAACTTCCTCTTGAGTTATTAACATTCTGTGTTCCGCAGAATGAGTATCTCTAGCATCTCCATGGACATTGGACCTAAAGTTGCTAGATAGACAGCAGCCGTAACATGTAGTAAGCAGCTGCTGAATATTCTGCAGATAGACTGGAATCTTGTCCAATCTAGGTTGCAAATCTCAGTATTTACACAACAAACAGTATATGATACTTTTGGCCTAACTTTTGTGGTTATCCAAGGTTAACATTTCAGAAAACCTGAAAAACGTATTAGAAGATCCAAAGCTTATTATCTAATAAGGTCAGCAAAATTGTAATGAAAAACACCACGTAATCAAGACATGAGTTTTAAGCATGCATCCCTGTTCTTTCAGTATTTGTGACAAGGGTCAAATTATTTTAACCTCACTGACTTTATCTCATATATAAAATGAGTATAAAATACTATGATACATGGTAATAAAAAAAAGTAATGGAACGATTACAACTCAATAATAAAAAGACAACCCAATTAAAAAAATGGACAAAGGCCATTTGCAACAACATGGACGAACCTTGAGGGCATTACGCTAAGTGAAGTAAGTCAGATAGAAAAAGACAAATATTCTGTGATATCACATATATATGGAATCTAAAAAGGCTGAACTCATAGAAACAGAAGAGTTGTGGTTGCCAGGGGTTGGGAGGGTTGGAGAAATGAGATGTTGGTCAAAGAGTACAAACTTCTAGTTATAAGATGAATAAACTCTAGGGATCTAATGTACAGCATGGTGATTATAGTTAATAACACCATATTGTACATTCGAAAGTTGCTGAGAGTAGATCTTAGATGTTTTCCCCCAAAAAAGAAATGGCGATTATGTAACATGATGCAGGTGTTAGCTAAAGCTATGGTGCTAATCATTTTGCAACATATGAGCATATCAAATAAACATGTTGTACACCTTAAACTTACACAATGTTATATGTCAATTATATCTCAGTAAAACTGGGGAAAAATGGGCAAAGGACTTGAATGGACATTTCTCAAAAGAAGATACACAAGTGGCCAATAGCAGATGAATATAAGCATCCTGAGGGAAGGAATCAAGTCTTAGTGAATATCTTTATTTTCCACAGATAGTACTAAGAACGTAGTAGAGGCTTAATGTATAATTTTGATAAACAGAAGTTTTAAATGTTGTTTAAAGTTGTTGTTTTAATTATATTCTTTCAGATCTATCAAATCTATTCAAAGCGATCTGCTGAGGATATTTATAAAATACTGACATCCTACAAGGCTAACTACCTAATTGTAGAAGATGCTATCTGCAATGAGGTGGGAACCGTGAGAGGCTGTAGGGTTAAAGATTTATTAGACATTGCAAATGGCCACGTAAGTAACCATTTGGAAAATTAAATTTTTTTGAGAAAAATGACTTTATTTAAACTTATAAAAGTATCTTCAAACTTTATTTTTGGAACTTAACTAAGAATATAATTAAAAGTTATATAACAGTGGGGGGGAGCTTATAGTTTGAACTATTTTTTCAATGTACAAAAGAAAAGTTGGGCAATTTTGCAAAAAAAAAGTTTACCAATATCTCGATTCCTTATTTGTTGCCTGTACTTGTGCATGTTCAACATTTATAAACAAAAGATAGTTTGTTTTGAATGATGATTTTATTTTAACATAAAGAGTAGCCGTTTGTTTTGTTATATTCTTATGTTGAGAAATTTCTTGTAATTTGATACATATCTAGAAAAATTGCTTACTAAATTGACACAGTCCTGTATATTGGGTCCCTATTATCCACAAAAATTAGTGTATTCAGAGCTACTTTAGTTGTTAGGATTTAACTGTATCTTAAGTTTTCATTGATTTTAGCTATTTTACCAAGCTTTCTTACTTCTCAGCCTACAGTGTATACTGTATACCTGGCAACTAAGACTGACAGGGGAGTTTGCATATCTGGTAATTAGTGTTTGTATATCTGATAATTAGGCACTGGAAAGGGTGCCTTTGCTCCTGGGAAAGTTGGGGGTGAAGGGTCTTAGGCATAGTTCAGTAGGTCATTCTTGTTTGGAGTGCATATTCTATTCAGGTTGCAGCCAAGACCTTTTCTGTCCCTTCCTAATTAATTAGCTCTTTGTCGTAATCATCCCAGACCAGTTTGGAGGTGAGAAATTAGTTTGTTGGGTACTTTTGGGTGGCCACCCTCTGCAGCATGTGGGATCTTAGTTCCCCAACTAGGGATTGAACCCACGCCCCCTGCAGTGGAAGCACAGAGTCTTAAACATTGGACCTCCAGGGAAGTCCCGAGAAATCAGTTTTTATGATTTCCACCTTTCCCTCTCTTCATGACCCCTTAATCTTATAATATAAACTTATTCTGTTTTCTGCTGTATGTATTTTGAATTTTCTCTGTTGGCACTTGATATCTGTGGTCTTTGGCTTAATTGGTGACAAAATGGAATTTTATTAAACATCAGGTGTTCAGTAATTACTACTGTATTGCTATCTGCTGTCTAGAGCCTTATCCTCTGCTCTTGGCTACCCTCTTGCTCCATTTTGAAGATCAGGTTACTTCTTCTTTCGTGTAATGCCAGGCATGGACTTAAAGCGAATCCATCCTTTTATTCTTAAAGTTGACTCTCTGACATCTTTCCTAGGCATTAGAATAATATTTAGTATTTTATTGTAGAAAACTCTTCAAGCTAGCTAAGCTCTCTTAGTGAACCTCATTAAGGTGAAAATGTAAAGCATTGTACTGGATAAGTCACAGAAACTTGCTTACTAATGTGAGTCAGTCCTGCACAAGGAGAAGAGTATGAATATACGTTAAGAGTATATGTCCATTTCTCAGCCTTGGCAGGCTCCATGATAAGGTTCTTCAGAGGAATGATAGTAGACTATGGAGACATAGCCTTCTAAATTTTAGGATTAAATCTTTTAAAAGTTGGAAAACACTTTATACTGATTTCTCAATCTCAATGGGAAGCTCAAGAATTTAGTGGACATGGTAACTCTTATGAAGAGGCTTTTATTTGCTGAACAATATGAGATGTTTGCTAACCAATGTGAGATAGTCCATGTTTAGCAATAATATATTTCTTCATATAAATATCATCACTTGTACATTGATTGCATTCCTCCTGTAAGCTTAATAAGCTTTTTAATATTTTGTTTCATACCGTTTGATAGGTGGTTTGTGAAGAAGGTGACAAGATAACCTACTCAAAACATGGAAGATTTTGTCATGAGGTCAAAATTAACTATTCTCCTTATGTGAATTACTTCACTAGAGTGTACTGGAACAGATCCTACTTTGTGTATAAAATCAACACTGTGATATCCTTTCAGTCTTGAAAAATAGCAGAGCCTTCATTTCAAAGACTTATACCACCTGAAGTAAAATGCAATTTTCTTCTACCTACGTGGTGTCTTTTGGAAATCAGAGTATGGACATTTGAAATGTTGCTGCTGCTTTTCCCCTCCTGCTGTTAACTGGATCTAGAATTCTGTGGGGGAAAGAAGATCAAACATTACTGTCCTTTGGTAAAATGTCAAATCTGCCACTCTGCGTCATTCCAGCCAGGTGTCTTCCTTACTGCTACGTGGTCTTTAAAGATTTTACCTTCTAAACGATTGTAAAATTTTCCTCATAAATCTTCATTCCATCATAACATTAGTCTTGAATTTGAATATTTTCAAGGTCAGAGTATATATCTCAAATATAAGATTTAATAAATAATTAATGTGATATAATTATAGAAGGAAAGAATTATTCTTTCCCTCAAGGAAGTTTCTGAAGGTATTTCATGGTGTATAATAGAACTGAAATATTACAATAAAAAACTAACTTAAATGTTCACTGAAAATTTGTGGCATTTAAATTAAAACGGAAATTATATAAAGGAAAGTGATTTTTAAGGATATACATAAAGATATATCCAGATTTTCCATGATACTGCTCTCCTCATCTGCTGCTTATGTAAATGAGCACTTTCTTAGTAATATACAGTGTATGATATTGCATTTCATCACTTTATGACTATTAAGTGGTTAGTTTTTTCACTTATGCCCATAAATTTGATACCAATTTAATCACGATAAAACAGTAACTCTTGTTACCTATGGTTTTTTTTTTTGGTTGGTTGGTTGGTTTTTTTTGCGGTACGCGGGCCTCTCACTGTTGTGGCCTCTCCCATTGTGGAGCACAGGCTCCGGACGTGCAGGCTCAGCGGCCATGGCTCACGGGCCCCGCCACTCCGTGGCGTGTGGGATCTTCCCGGACTGGGGCATGAACCCGTGTCCCCTGCATCGGCAGGCAGACTCTCAACCACTGCGCCACCAGGGAAGCCCACCTATGTATTTTTTAAAACAGACATTTAAAAGAATGTTCAAAATTTAAAAATAAAAGTATGTTGTTTAGGTTTTTAAAAAATATGGATATGGAGTATATAATCTATTCACATGTTTTCTATTGAAGTATTAAGTAAAAAATTAAATCTTTATCAGAATGAGAATATGAGCAACTAAAGTGAGCAACAATTTCTGGAGATATGTGCAGATGCTGTTTAACATACCTCTGCATAGAGGTGTATTTATGATAAAACACAAGTGCTGTTATTTATGAAACGATGATACAGTCTTAAACATTAAGAACAAAATGACAATTATAATAAAATTCAGAGCACAGTTCCACAATCTGTTATGTTCCTTTAAGTTAAATGTTTTCATATTTTTAATTATTAATTAAAAGAAATTCTAAATGATTAATTTGGCCTTATAAAGAGATTCAGGATGGATGTATCATTTTAATAAGATGGGATACATATTCAGTTTTACCTTATACACCTGTTAAGTGAACAGATTTAAAATTTTTTCACTTGTTAGAGTGCTGTAAAAATTGCAATTTCATTACTCTGAATTACTACGTTAGAAAGGAACATCTTTCCATTTTCTTTATTTTCTGTAACATATATTTTAAAAGTACAAAAGCACATGCATTCTTAGATTAGCTCTAAGATGTTTTGTTCTTTTGGAGCTTAAGTATTGTTTGATGTCATATGTCTGGTGCGTTAGTTTTATTGATTCTTATTTCACGTTTTTATATAACTTTTAACAATTATATTAAGATAGCTACAGGCAGGTTATTTCAGGTTCTCTGTGCATCTTAATAGTGAGTCACTAGTATTTAGCTTCAAGCCTTACGAAAATATTACCATAGTTACCTAAGTACACAGTGAATAGTCACATGGTAGTACTTACAATTAGAGGGAGCATGTAAAACAATGTAATTTAAGAGTCAGCTTGCATATTTTTTTTTTTTTTTTGCGGTACGCGGGCCTCTCACTGTTGTGGTCTCTCCGGTTGCGGAGCACAGGCTCCAGATGCGCAGGCTCAGCGGCCATGGCTCACGGGCCCAACCGCTCCGCGGCATGTGGGATCCTCCCGGACCGGGGCACGAACCCGTGTCCCCTGCATCGGCAGGCGGACTCGCAACCACTGCGCCACCAGGGAAGCCCAGCTCGCATATTTTGAAAGGGAAATAGAACAACCTACTTTCTATGTAGCATGAGATATTTAATTGAATTTTTATTGATTTACTTTATGATCACATATGCTGAATTAGTTTTGATTGTTGTATGTTTTTTGTTTTTGACGTATTAGTAAGTTGCTTTTGCTTCTGTCAACTTATTTCTTAAATAAAATAGATTTGGATCCGTTTTTAATTGAATTTTTTAAATAATGAAGTTTTCACTCAGCATCAGTTGAAAAGAAAAATGTGAACTTTATTATAGAAATAATAATACTGAGTATGAAAGATAAGTTTATTTGCTTCTATTTTAGCTGTAGTTAAAACAATAGTGCTAGAAAACTTTCAGGAGCATTTAATTAATTTCCTTATTTGTAGACTAACAAATGATTAAGAATTCTGCAAGTAATTCCATTTGGGTAACTTACCGTTGTTAGGTATGACAATAAAGATCTACTGTGAAAGGGGCAAAGTTTATGGGTTTGGGGTAGAAGGAATTTCTCAAAGAAATACAAAACATAAATACTTTGCCCTTGATGTTGCAAAACTATTGAAATAAGTGCCTTAATAAGGAGGTTAAAATAAGAAGGTTAAAAGTAAATAAAAGTTTACTTTTTATTTTCAAAAAAAAATTATCCATTTCTTACTTTTTCATAAGAAAAGTTTGGTAACTTTTTCCTCATCATTAAGCACAGAGAAAGAATCCTCACTATGCTATTTTCACTATTAACTTTAATTCATTGGTAAGCAAATCTTTGTTAAGGGTAGTGATGGGATTTCTAGCCTGCTAAATTAATTTATTTAGCTTCTCAAATGCCGAACAATAGAATAAGTAAAACTTGATAAGGTGTATGATATTGACTGCTGGTTTACATTTTCTCTAACTTTGGCATCTGTGTCTCGGTGCTTTTTGTTAGACTGGTAGGGTTTTACAGCCTATGGAGTATGCATTGCACTTCTAAATTTTTTTCTTCATTACTTTCTGAGTATATACACAGCCTTTTTTTTTTCAGGACATTAACCCAAATTGCTAAAAGCCTAATGTTATGACACTTCCGTACAGTCTAGATTGATTCAAGGAAAAGTAGAAATGGAGGTCAAAGTGGGTTACAAGTTGGGGCTGAAAAATATGCTTTAAAAAAATAGGCTGTTAATTTCTTGAAAGGAACAGTGAATAGCCATCTTATTAAACTTTGTTGTTTTGGGGAAATCAATTGGTTTTTGGCCCTTTCTATTTTTGAACTGTTAAAACATTTTGTTGTCTTTTGTGGGTAAAAGTAGTGTCTCTCTTTATAAAATTGTTGGGGTTTCTAAAAGTTGTATGTAAATCAATTTCTTGGTAAATTTATTTTAAATGCATGAATATTTAAAGGGCATATATTATGAACTATTCTGTGTATTCATGAACCTATTGTAAAGCAAATAACTACTTCCTGATTTACATCTCAATATATTATCTCATTTGTCCAGTTTTTAAAATATACATTCTCTATTGTTGCTATTTGCTAATAGTTTTAGATCCCAATATGTATTAAAATTACATCTCTGAAAAGTTGCAAGTAAAATTGAACAATTTCTTATTGAAATAATAGCTCATTATTTAGTTTTGGAATGTGTAAAATTAATACTTTAAATAAAGTTAGTTGTGAAAATTGCAAAGGAATGTATTTGATTCAGCCATTTTCCATCCATTAAGGTTTCTAAGCATTATATTTGTTTTCCGTAATAAAAAAAAGGAGCATTTTAGAACCGTATTTGCTGAATTTAACATAAAAGCATCTCTGAATCATTTCTATTTAGAAGTCCCTAGGAATTTGCCACATTCTAATTTTGGTATGTATAATCTTATGTGCAGTTTTTTTTGGCTGCACTGGGTCTTTGTGGCTGTGCGCGGGCTTTTCTCTAGTTGCGGCGAGCGGGGGCTACTCTTCGTTGCGGTGCGCGGGCTCTCATTGAAGTGGCTTCTGCTGCAGAGCACAGGCTCTAGGTGCGTGGGCTTCAGTAGTGGCACGCGGGCTCAGTAGTTGTGACTCACGGGCTCTAGAGCGCAGGCTCAGTAGTTGTGGTGCACAGGCTTAGTTGCTCTGCGGCATGTGGGATCTTCCTGGACCAGGGATCAAACCCGTGTCCCCTGCTTTTAGCAGGCGAACTCTTAACCACTGCGCCACCAGGGAAGCCCCTTATGTGCAGTTTTATAAGAGATACACTGAACACCTGACCACTGTATTTAGTGGAATAATAGCATCAAAAAGAAATATGCATTCCATACTTATAGTGTGAGATATCTCATAAACAACCCTTTCATATTTTAAATTAATAGCTTTGTACAGCTATTTAACAAAGATGAATACAACTGATTTTATGTATGTTGACTTTTGAATCACATCTACAGCAATGCGTATATATATATATTTTTTGTTTGTTTGTTTTTGTTTTTTGCGGTACGCGGGCCTCTCACTGTTGTGGCCTCTCCCGTTGCGGAGCACAGGCTCCGGACGCGCAGGCTCAGCAGCCATGGCTCACGGGCCCAGCCGCTCCGCGGCATGTGGGATCTTCCCGGACCGCGGCACGAACCCGTGTTCCCTGCATCGGCAGGCGGACTCTCAACCACTGCGCCACCAGGGAAGCCCTCCAGAGATTTTTAAGTGGTTGTTTTTTTAAAAAATCATTGTCACCAGTTAGGTTTTTTCATGGGGGCTCCTCACGCTGCCATTCCAACTGTGGGAGTGTATATGTAAACTTTAAGGCTATTAAGGACTGGAGAAAAATGTAGCAGGTCATTTACAGTAGCTACTAATCAACTTTCTCTCTTGATAGTATCATTGTTAAAGAAATAGAATTAATAGAACTATTGCTTAGCTGAAAACTTGGGGCTAGAGCTATTGAATGCGGGAATGGCTATTTGTCAGTCTGATAAATGTCCTATATAAATGAAAAAATAGGCTCAAGTAATTGATGCAAATATTCAGTTATAATACTATTTAGTGGATTTCATAACCACAGTGACAAAGTACAATGAAATGAGGATAATGTTTACCCTGTAGGGTAAGTGGTGAGAAATAAAAATCAGATTTTAAGTAAAGCATTTTAAGTTCTTGCTACATAGCTAGTGTTTTGTAAATGTAATTTATTATTATTTACTATTATTTTCTCACATTTTTTGTCCAGTTCCTAATACATAGCAATGTAAGCACTTTCACAGCTCCTATACAGTATTGTCTTTTAAAAAGCATTAAGTGTTGCATTAGAAATTAATTCTTCAAGAGTTAGCCCTAAGGGGGAGAAAAAAACAGCCCTCAGGATGAACTTATTAAATAAAATATAAGTATATTGGACCAAGTAACTAGCAATATATATTTACATGATTCTAAGGACTTATAATTTTTATAAGCAAAAAAAGTGATAGACATATATAATATTTTAAAAATTTGAGATCCTTTTTTACCCCTACTCAGTGAGCATTAATATAAACAAATCTCAGCCATTCTATTATTACCTTATATGATTGGATTTGAATTTTGAGTCATCTTTAATGGTGAAATGCAAAGAATTTTCATGGTCATACTTTATTTATAGGACCAGCTCTGAAATTAATCCTGCTTTAGTCACATGAAACATGTATATATGACCAGAGTTAGGGTCTGGTTTCTTTTCATCACTACCTGCTTCCCTGGAGCAGAGAACCAGCTGGA